TTTCATATTTGTAAAGATTGTCAGTGTAAGTTTTTGGCAAAAAATTCTTTTTTGCTCTTAACTTGTTTTTAGTGCCCCTGTGAGCAAAACCTTGAGACAAATTCTGTGACACACTCATGTTTCAAATGGAGCTGCCCATGAAAGAGAGTTTCCATTTTTGTCACAACTAGTATGTCAGCCAGCTTTCTGCCTCTGTAACAAACACTGAAGATAATCAGTGTATAAAGAGAGAAGGTTTATTTTGACTCATAGCTCATGATTGAGAGGATAAATGCTTTGGGCTGAGGCAAGGAAGTACATCATGGCTGGAGTGCATGGCAGAGCAAAATTGTTCACCTTATGCCCAGGATGCCAAAGAGAGAACAAGAAAGTGATCAGAATCGCATAACCACCTTCACAGGTGAGCTCCTAGTGACCTAAAGGCCTCCTGTAAGGCCCCTCCTCTTAAGGGTACCACTACCTCCCATGGGTGTATGGGGAATACTTAAGATTCAAAGTTTATCCACCACAAGCACAGCTAATGTGCTTAATATATACTATTATACCGATAATATTACAAAACCATATATACTATGTACAATTTTGCAAAGGAAGAAACAGAGGCTCAAGAAGAATTCTATAAGTCACCAGTAAGTAGACTTGATGCTGAATGAGTTAAGAGCCTGTATAAATCTAATTTAGAAGCTGTATTTAGCCAGCATTTAATTGCAAGTGGCCAAAGCTTCATGTTGAAGTTCAGAGATTTTTCTTGTTGAAAAAAGCGATTTTGTTTCTGTACAAATTTGGAATATTTGCCAATTTGTGAAGTGATGTGAATCAGGAGAAATATCCTGATGTCTGCTACAGTCATGTGGTCATTATTTCACCCAGCTTCCCTGTGAAGTAGATGGTGTGTAATAATTGCAGCAGGTATTCTGTTACTGGTGGGCTCTGAGTGTAACTAACATGGTAGTGTTACATGAAGAGCAACAGGGAATGTGATCTGCCACGTTTGAAATACACTCAGTGCTGGTGGATGTGAGCTTGATTATGCTTGGCAGTGTGACTTCCTGTTTTTAAGATAAAAGACCTACAGAAATTTATTAGAAAATTGCAGAAGGCTTTAGTGACGTGATCACATACAGCTTAGAGAAAACTCTTAAATAATTTAATTGCAAATGAATTTGAACCACATGAAGAAATTTCTTAATGTGCACATCAGCTTAACAGAGGATTACTACATGATATGTAAAAGATGTTTGACTGTATGTGCAACCCAGAATCTTAAATAAAGGAAAATTTCAGAATACTTGGAAAAAATGTGGTTGGCTTTTTTCTAAATGCAAAGATTAGATAGAGAGAGGAATATGTTTAGCAGAGTGGCATTCTTATTTCACTCTGTTTGTACCACATAAGCTGAGCTCTGTGCAATCACAGGAACAGTTCTTGCTCTTGTCCATTTTGCTGCCTGCTGATGATACTGTCTGGTTCATCACAGATAATACCAGCTGGGCAGGCAAAGTGCCCCTACTCTTGTAGGAAGCCTGCCCAGCCTTAAACCCCCATTTCCCCTGCATGAGCAGAAGAGTTTAAAGGTGGAGTGAGAGGTACCTGAGTGAGTGCTGAGTTTAAATGCAAGAGGCGTCATTAAGAGGGGACACACCTGAAATCAGAATAGTTGCATTCAGGCCACTGTTTGGCACTAAACATTTGTGTGCCCTAAGGTGAGCTGCTTCACTTTAGAGCCTGTTTTGTCATGGGAACAGGATATTTCACTTTCTTCCTGGCTATTGTAAGGGCTAGGGTGAAAAATGTGAGATCTTGTTGCAAATTGTAGAGTTCTATCCAAAACATGCCATGCAATGGATTGTCAGGGGTGGCTCAGCCTTGGTTTGTGGGCCTGGCCCTCTTCTGGCCCACTACATGGAGTGATTAGACACAGGTTGGTGCCTGGGGTGGAGGAGCTGTGTAGTCTGATAGGGCAGTGGCTGTCCCTGACACTGGTTTGTGTAGCTGATATGTGGTGGACCTGGCATGCTTTGGGACAGAGCCTCTGCCTGGGCAACTCAGGTAGCACACTGGTGGAATTCACTCCTTACTCCTCTAGGATTCTATCACTTTTAGGAAATTCTGAAGTTTTTTGCTTATTATTATTTTTTTTTCAGGATTTATTATGGAGGGTTAGGGATCACTGGGTTCGAATCTGTCATGAGCAGAGACCTGCAACAATTGTCCTCAAGGCCCAGGACTACTGCATCCACTGTAAGACACTGATTGGAGAGAATATAGGCCAGAGCAGAACTGCAGGCAGAGAAAGTCACCATTTGTAGCAATTCATTTTCTAGCTCAGTTACGTAAGACTTGTGTGTGCTTCATTTTGCTGGACTGTACTATTTGATTAGAAACAAAAACTTTACAATAATTACTATATCATATATTGTAGAAAATATTTATTGAACCTTATAGGTTACTCTCTTAGTTTTTAGGAATGGGGTGTTCTGTGACTGATCAGGCAAGCCTAGCTAATCTGTCAAATGTTATTCCTTTGGTTAAATTCACGATGTTGAAACCAGCTGTCTGGCATCTCAGAATAGCCATCTGCAAAAGCTATTTATTTATGTGTTATTGAGCCTCATGTTAACTTATGACATTAGTTTTCATTCTTACATTTAGCTCGGAGTTTTCCAGGCTAATAAAAGTAGTCAGAATTGAGGTTAATCAAAGGAAGAAGGCTTGAGAAGTAACTGGCTCACACAGTTAGAGAGGTGCCTGTTTCCCTAGCAGCATCCTCAAATGAAGGTTAGAATATGGTTCACTACTGGAAATGGGCAATGTTGTGGTTAAATGGACTATAACAATTGTTCTCTAACTCTTGATATAAAATAAAACCTAAAAAACTAAGTAGTGCCCATTATATAACATTGCTTTAAAGAAGTTAGCAATAAGAGTATTTCTTGATATTCATCAGTTTAGCAAGAGGATTTTGCAAAACTGATTAATATAATGTGAAGAAAACAGTAGATACTGAGAATAACAGTGATGGTGTGTCATGAAGGGGTTTGTCTAGAGGGGTAGGACTTACAACTTGGGAGGAAAGTTTAGACCTCAAAATGAAATTAGTATTCACCTCTTAATGGTTTATCATAAAGGCAAGGAAATCGTCCCTTTTCAATATTACACTGAATAACTGGAGGACAGTTATAAATAGCATGTAATGGGTCTCTGCTGTATTTTTACACTGACCTTTGACTCTCACCAGAGAATATAGAGTTTTAGCCTAAAGGTGGCAAGAGGAACTAGATTAAAAGAGACCAATAAAGCATGCACAACTTCTAGCTGTCAGTCTCACCACATGGTATGTTTTCATTTTAGTTTCTTGAGACCTCGGTATGAAATTGTGAGAGGATTATGAGGACAGAGAAATAATCTTACTGGCATTGGTTATCAAAAATAGGCATTTAAGCTTAGAATCTAGTTGAAGCTTGGTGCTTTCTGAGATGTCATACATGTGACCATAGATGCTAATGGTGTACTGTTTAATGGTTCCTATGTCATGTCCTCTTTAAGAAAAGGAAGTGCCCAACAAGCCCTTGCGTGTGCGCGTCCGGTCCTCAGATGACAGGCTGTCTGTTGCATGGAAGGCACCACGCCTGTCAGGAGCCAAGAGTCCACGCAGATCTCGGGGTTTTCTTCTGGGCTATGGAGAGAGTGGTCGGAAGATGAATTACGTTCCACTGACGAGAGATCAACGGACACATGAAATTAAAAAGCTAGGTAAGTTTAATATTAATTGGTATACAATGCTTTGAATACTGTCTTACTTTTCTTATTGCTGAGAGAAAATACCTGACACCCAAAGTTAAGGGAAGAATGGTTTATTGTCACTTTCCATTTTTTTAGAGGTTTCAGTCCGTAATCAGCTGGTTCTAGGGTAGGGTGGCATGTCTCAGGGGCATCAGAGAGGAGAAGGAGTTCATGGCAGGCAGAAGGCATCAAGGTAGCAAGCAGTGACATAGTGAAGCAACAAATGACAAACAGAAACCCTCTTTCTGTCCATTATATCCTATCCAGGCTAGGGTGGGTAGCACTCACACCTAGGGTGGGGCAGCCTTAATCCTAGCATTGAACTGTGAATCAATCCCAGCATCACACCCTAGATTCAGCCATCTCCGAAGATACCCACCTATGATCTCATGAGGCTTTGGGGAATATCTAGATACAAGCCAAGACATTCTATCCCTGGTCTCCCAAATGCTCATGAACATCCCTTTATGCAAAAGGCATTTAGTCTATCTCCAAAAGTTGGCAAAGTGCTAACAGTTTTAGTACTGCTGAAAAGTCAAAGACAAATCTCTACTGAGATTTAAGACAAACTCTTAGCTGTGATCCACTGTACAAATGAAAAGAAAGTTAAACACTTCCAACATGCAATGGCACAAGATAAACACTCCCATTCCAAATAGGGGGATAGAAAAGAATGGGACCAAAGCAAGTCCAAACTCCAACAGGGCAAACATTAAGTTCTGTAGTTCCACATGCAGCATCCAAGGCAATCTGTGGCAAGCTGTAAACTCCATCTGCCCCTATGGCACTGTTGATGGTTGTTTCGTGGTTTCTCTCTTAGGCCAGCTCTGCTCCTTCTTTGCAGTTTTCCTCAGACAATCCATGTTCCTGGCTTCTCTAACCTTCTGGGGTCTCCAGTGTACCTTTGACTTCATACAGCTTCTTACACTCTCCTCTCAGGAGCATACTGTGTGGGCTTTGAGGTCTTCTGAAATCTGGGTGGAAACCTTCCCACAACTCTTGCATTCTGTGTGCACCCAAAACCAGCACTGCATGGATGATGCCATGGTCTGCCACCAGCTGGAGTAGTAGGAAGGCTTCCTTCTCTCTTTGCTGTAGATTTTAAGTGCCTGGATCACTGAGCACTCTGAATGCAATCTCAAGGATCAAGTATTTAGGCTGCTACCATTCCAGAACATAGTACTCTGGGGCTGTCTTCTCAAAGCAAATTACTTCACCTTTGCAACCTTGAGGCTGCACATGCTGCTGTTCCTTGTGATGTCCTCAAGCCATCTTCACCATTGTCTTATTCTTGCCTGTCAACCAAGTTTTGCTCTGCTTTATCTTTGTAGTCTTCAGCTTCACTGGAGCTTCCTTTCAGGCCAAATTCACAATGTTTTAAGTCATTCTGCTGGGCTCTTTGCTTGTGATTCTTAACACAGATCTGGCTAAAATCCCCCCAAAGTAGCCATACCACCACTTCCACATTAGACTGTCTTGAAATTTCTTCTGAAAGATCAATTAGTCGACTGCCCCTAAATTCAGTCTCAGACAAAGTCTCTGGACAAGAGCAAAATGCAGACAAACTTTCTGCCAAGGCGTAACACACATTATCTGAATTCAACAGCCAATGCAGTTAAATACATTTCACAGCATTCCAGGATTACTTCTTCAGCTGGCATCTATTAATCTTTCCAAACTTCCTACAAGCCAGTTCCAGAGGCTCCTGAACCATATGGTTCAGGAGTCACAGCAATGACTCCACTTTTGTGGTACCACATTCTGTATTAGTTACTTTTCTTGTTGAAAGAAAATCCCTGACAACCGAAGTTAAAGGAAGAAAGGCTTATTTCGGCTCACAGTTTGTGGAGGTTTCAGTCTGTAATTGGCTGCCTCCCAGGCAAAGTGGCATGCCAGAAGGGTATCACAGAGAAGAAACAGTTCATTGCAGGCAGAAGGCAGCAAAGTATCAAAGTACCAAACAGCAAACAACAAACAAGGACCCTCTTTCCATCCTTCATATTCTATCCAGGCCACCCACCCTTAGTACTCACGTGCAAGGTGAGGCACCCTAAATCCTACCCAAAATGATGCCAAACCAATCAGTGGACCAATTTAATAATCACACATGCTTGATCCCAGCATCACACATTTTAGATCCAACCACCTTTGAAAAGCCTCACTTAAGACTGCATGACACTTTTTTGGGGGAGCATCTAGACACAAGCCATAACAGTGGTTTTTGTGAGTATTTCAATATTTAGAAGGTCATTCATGACAGAACACCATTTTAGTTATAATAACCCCTTTCCAGGTGTGACAGTTATTTGGAGTCATAGCCTTGGTTCTGTCCTCTAAGTTCCCATCAACTAAACCTTAGGCAGGGTTAGGGCAAGGTTATCTTCTGAGTTCTTTCCTCACTCAACAGCACTGAATCCTTGAGTCAAGCCATCTGTCTACATGAGGGCAGGGCTGAGGCTTTTTCCATTTTGCCTCTACTTTCATTATTTTGTTCTTTGAAACTTTGTCTTAGAATTTTGGACCCTGGACCTGGGATCTTATGGAGATCAAACATGTGGCAGCTGAGAAAAGCTGCAAGTTGGGCCTGCCCTCCTCTCTTTCTGAACCCCTCATTGGGTGATGAAAACAGTGGCTGTAAAATGCTAATGGTAGCATTTTCAGGGACTAGGAGACCTTATGTGCCTGGCTCAACTGGGATTGGGTCCTGACCTAGCCTGGATCAGGTCCTGACCTTTATTGGCCATATTTACTGACAGATCTGGGCAGTGAACACAGGCTGGTGCATCCTTGCACATGGAGACAGGCCTAAAGGTTCTCTCTCCTCCTATCTCTGCCTTCCTTTCTCCTTATCTCCTTGACGCATTGGAAGGAGGTTGAATAAGCATGGCTGGGCCCCTTCACATCTACTCATCTGGGGGAGTTGGGTTACTGAGAGCCCACAAGATCTGTCTCATCCTGGGGTTCAGGCTTAGAAAGTACCTTTATCGTATATCTTCCAACTGGCTTTTTGAAAAACCAGTAATAAGTATTCCAGCTGTACCACTCATTCAGAGACTCTAGAGAGACCAGGCAGCCTCTCCACTCACATGCAGTTGGGCACCTGGTAGCTTCCTGTACCCATGATGGTGTGGAGACTGGAGGTAGAATCTCACCATCACGTGGGGTGGGAAGGCTGGAGGTAGAAAGGAGGCCTGGCTCCAGCAAGGAATGGGGAAGGTGGGCAGTCATAGGTTCATAGAATTTGAGGGTGGTAAACAGAGAGAAGACACATGGTACCCATGGCTTGGCAGATTCTCAGTCCTGAAAGGTAAGATCTTTTATCAGATAGGGCAGTAGGTGTGCAGAAAGTTAGAAGTAGGACTGGACTGGAGAGATGGGGCAGCGGTTGGACACAGCCCAAGGGAGGCAGGAAGTGTTGGCAGACACAGACATAAGGTGCGGGAAGAAGCTTAGTGGCCCGCATCCTCAGTTCTGGGCACTTCAGCTAAGGTATGGTCAAACATTATCTTGCAGTCTTGACAAACAGCTGCATTCCATGGGCCAGGAATGTGCTACAGCTTGGCCCAGCATGAATTTGACTTGGTGAGATGCTAGGTGGATGTTGGGTTGGTTTCTCCCCTCTGAAACAGCCCTGGAAGTCCCTGTTCTATTAGGGTGGGGTGTTCAGCCACCTAATGAAAACTCCTTGGACGGCGTGGCTCTGCAGGACACTCCTGGCCCGGGTTGGCCACGTGGCATTTGGTGTCTTTGCCATGAGGAGGCACAGGCATGACTGAGCCAAGCAGAGCCTCAAAGCCATCTCAAAGTGTGGATTCAGCAAAAAGCTATGAACCGTCTCTTTGTTCTCATGGCACAGAAAATACAGAAGGATTGCAGGAAGCAAGAGAACTCCCAGCTATATGTGTCTTGTGAAGTATGACTTTAGTATTAGCAGCAAGACCTAGAATCAGATAGACTCAGTCATCTGAGCCAAAGAACAGTTTGGAAACATGTCAGTCTGTCATTCTGAAGCCACACCTTTGCTTGAATGGTTTTCCTGTGCAGATTGATGGGCTGTGTTGTGGTAATGTGGGCCTAACTCTCCCCAAAATATGAGCAGAAGAGGAGAGTCACTATTTTTGCATTTCTGATATGGCAGCAAAGCATTTTCAAGTGGAAAGTTCTCATTGTCCTGAGTCTCATTGATGCTGCACAATAAAATATCATTCAGTATTGATAAGTTTGCATGTAAACTAGGCCTTTTTCCCCACTTCTTCAGTAGCACACTGCTGGCTCCCCTGAGGGCTGTACAAAATTTTTCTTTTACTGTCTGAACTTGAGCGAATGTTAGATGTGAGGTCACAGGTCAGAGGTGGGCTCCAAAGGTTGAAAGGGCAGGGGCAAACCTCTTGGGCTTCTGGTATAATAGGTTATCTTTTGAATTTTCACCACATAAAAGGCGCTGGACTTGCCATGGTAAGAGATCTAAGAGGTCCTATGACAGGACCTCTTAGATATTCCAGTACATCTAACTGGAAGCTTGTCCCACTGTGGGGTAGGGCAGGATGTAGGGGTTCTGCTGTTTCCTGAGAAGACTGTCTCTGTGTTTTACCCCAGACACCACTTTTTTGGCAGTACTGGGAACTGAATCCAGGACCTTTGCACTGAACTACATCCCAAGCCCATTTTTAATTTTTCAGTTTGAGAAATTTTAATTTTTCAGTTTGAGGAATCCCTCAGGAAGGTACAGTAAACCTTTGGAAGGTGAAACACAGTGTTTCTGCCACATCCCATGCTGGGGTCAGAAGTGAGCCATTCATTGGGTCTGATAGAGGACACCCTGGAATCACTAGCTCAGGATGCTACTGTTAGGTAGGAAATTTATTTCCACATTTTATTTAGTAATCAGAGGGCACAGAGAAGCTTGCGCTTGTACCGTTACCTGTTCTTCATTATAACTCTGAGGAGACAGATTGCTGCCTGGGACCTGCTCGCTCCTCATCTGCAATCCTAAGAGCCTGGGCTTTGGAGCCACACAGAACTGGCTGTGAGACACGATCACTCCATGACTTTGGGAAGTCATCTCACCCCTTTGAGCTTGTTCTGTGGCATTGAACTCTTCCTATGACATTTTTGGGTCCATGGTAGTTTCAGGAGCTCATTAAATGTAGGCATTAAGAACTTTGAGAAATACAATGAAAACATCTAAAAACTTCAGGTGTGAGAAATTACTTGTTTTTTGGTGGTTCTTTCTAAATAATGGACCACTGCTTTTCACAAGTAGTTGCTTCTCTATGCTCCTGGGTTGGAAGAGGCAGATTTTCTTCTTTGTTCACTTCTGGTATGCTTCCACTGTCAACAGCACAAATAAATTCTCAGGGCTGAAGTGACTCCTCTGCATAAAAGCTGAGTTTGATGTTCTGTGATTCTGAGTGTTACCAACTTGATTCTCCCTTGTGTAAAACATACATTTTAGAGTTCTTTAGTAAAGTAGCTGTGAGTGCCTTTAACATAAACAATTTGCTCATGTAACAGCATTGACTTTTCTGTCTGTAGAGAGAGCAGGGGTTCCAATATTATTTCCTCACCTGGAATTGTCTGATGAGAAAACAGCAGTTCACTTTATGTAAATAGGCCCCTCAGTGTAAGGTCTTTGAACACAGTATCCATTTATTTAACTCAACATGTTTGTAAAGACCAAATCTTATTTCCCTCTTAAGGAAGTATTCCCTACTGTCCTGTGTTCTAGATTCTTCTCAGAGTCTTAATATTAACTTTGCTAATTTACCGAGGTGTTACCTGATGTTATAACTACCTGTACTAGAAATAGTTCAGGTTGCCTCATTTTAATTCTTAGCTTGATTAAAGCTTCAGCAAGAAGCTTGATCAGCAGAGCTTTAAATTAGACATTAACCATATGAATTCAGAGAATACTATGAGTCCTTCTAAGAGTGTGACCTTGGGCAGGTCACTCAATTTTTATGGTTTTGTTTGTGTTAGGGTTCTTTAGAGGAACATATTCAAATGTATATATCTATCTATATATATCTATATAAAACTTCTATATAATTATGTATTTAATATAATTTATATCTATAATTTATTAGGTAGGCTTATAGGATCAGAAACAAAAGAAACAGAAAACTCCCCATTGCAGGATCAAAGGCAGAAGTACCTAAAATGGCCAGCTGTGCACTAGGATCCACTAGCAGTCAAAAGTTGAAGGGCTGAAAGTTCACCCTAAAGTCACTGGTATGAGTCTATGTTGGAAGGCCAAAGAGTCTGCAATGGAAAGCTGATGAAACTGGAAACCAATGTTCAAAAGCAATAGGAAGACTGAGGCTCCTCAAAAGAAAGAAAGAAAGAAAAAGAAAGAAAGAAAGAAAGAAAAAGAAAAGAAAGAAAGGAAGGAAGGAAGAAAAAGAAAGAAAGAAAGCAGGAAAGAAAAAAGAGAGGAAACATTTCCTTCTTTCCCTTTTTATTCTGTGCAAGCTACAAGCCTATTGGTTGTTGCTATCCATATCTGGAGTGGGTCTCTCCCTTGGTTTGCTGGCATATGTGTCCATCATTGACAGACATCCAGAATTTGCTCACCCGCTGGTAGTTCTTACTCAAGTCAAGTTGACATATTACAGTTAATAATCGTACTGTTTTTACTAGTAAAATAAGATCAGATTGGAAATAATCAAGGTTTTACCTGAGCCTCAGATTCTGTGATTGCATCATGCTTAGGAATATAAGTTTTAGCTAGGCACAGTGTTGTATGCCTGTAACCCCAGCACTCTGGGAACCTGAAACAGGAGGATTGCAAGTTCTAGCCTAATCTGGGCAACTTAGTGCCTTAACAAGACACTGTCTCAAAATAAAAAAAAATAAAAAAGGGCTGGGATCATAGCATAGTATGAAGGCCTTGGGCTAAATTCCCATTACCTCCCCGCAAAAGATTTATGTTTTATTTCATCATTATAAGTTTTTTCCAAATACAGTTTTCAAGTTTAGATTAAGTTAGATATGAGTGGGACCAAATACACTGCTTTGGGGAGGGGTACTAACTGAAAGAAGAGTCCAGAAATAAAGGTTACATTTAAATCTTCCATTTGCTCTTAGCACATCTGTAAAGACTCCACTTAGGATTTCAGTTTCAAAGGGTACAGTATCCTGTGAGAGCAGAAAAACCTTTTGGGATACTAACCCATCACATTGGCTCCCTCTCCCTTTCTGAAAGCAAACAGAGTAACTGGCATATTGAATGTAAAAAGAAGTTTTTACTTTCAGCTATCCTTTCAGCTATTTTCTTTTTAAAACAATTATCCCTCTTTGATGTTGATAAGATAGAAACCCATTTTTCAGGAATAATAGGTAACATCTGTTCACTGTTTTCTAACATAATAGTGGCTTTTTTTAGGTTAGTTCCTGCAGTTCTTGGGCTGATTTTTAGTTGTCCTGAGGAAGTGGGAATGCCTGTGGAAAGATGGAATGGGAAGGAAGGGATGGGGAACAGAGACGATAGAGGCTCATGTGTTCCTGAGAACTCAAGCTGCTATCTCAGCCCCTGCTCTTTGGTCCCCAGCCTCCGAGTCAGTGTACGTGGTCTCTCTGCAGTCCATGAACTCCCAGGGGCAGAGTCAGCCAGTCTACAGGGCTGCCCTTACGAAGCGCAAGATTTCAGGTAAGTTCAAAGGATGACTTGGTTGGAACCACAGTCTGGTGTGAGTACATCTTGCTACCATATGGTGCTGCCTGTTGGATTACTTCAATTTCATATGGAGAATAGAAGAAACAAGTGGGCCGATTTGGTCACTTTTTGGATGCAAGTGTGTATATTTCACATGCAGAGGCTGCAGTGTTCTTGCAATGAAATCCATTTCACTGTGTGTTCTGAATGGATTCACTGTACAGTAGCTTTCCACTGACTGGAGGAGCCAAACATTCTTCCATGCAATGGCACAGTCTGGTTCACCCATAAATTTCCCCTAGTGAGATATCAACAAAGTGGGAGAAAGAAGAGTAGGTGTGGAGGGATGGCATGCAGCCGTGCACACCAATGTTATTTCAGCTAACTTTGTATAAAACTCTCATTGAGACAGAGAGAACAAATGTAATGATGGCTTGCTGATAGCCTGAACATTCTCCACTTACTAAGGGATACTTATGTCATGCATGGCTATTTTTGTTACATTACTCCTATGTAAACAAATACATACTCTTTTGTGGGCTATATGTCTAAGTTTAAAGAGGCAACCTACAACATAATAATTTCCATGAACTTATAGCATACAACAAAACTTACTTTTTCACATAGTATACTTTTCACATAGTATAAAGGTGTTCCACATATATGATGCTTCACTTTTCTTATTCATTGATTGTTGCCATAGGAAAAGGCCTTTTATCACTTTTTTAATAGGCTAAATACTTCCCCCTTCTCCTATTTCTACACCCTTTTGAAACATGCTGCCCCAAAAATGAGAGCAAAACAAAAACCCAAGAGACTAAAAGGCAAGATTAAAGATATTTTGTGAATCTTAATTTGTTGGAGATTAATCAAAGACTCTATCTTTATGACTATGATGGATTGTATTGATGACAAAGATAAATCTTTGAACAAAATAAGTGAATTGAATTGTGTTTTATATCTGAATATAAATTTTAATTTCCCTTCAGCCATATAGTGTAAAATGTGAGGACATGGAATCTAATGTGATTCTTACAGTTGTTTGAAGCAGAATTTTCATTTCCTGTCATGGTCATCAAGGAAATGCAAATTAAGCTTGTCTTTCCCTAAACCTTTGCTTCTTCTAAAATTTTTAATGATTTTCTAGAAACTTAGAGTACACGGAGCAAACACTAACTTGTTTGGAGCATCTTCCACCAAGGGGAAGCATCTGTTTTCTACTGGCCTGTTTACTGATTGGGCTGGCAGTTTATGAAAGAAATTGCTTATTTCTTAGGCTGTGTTTAAGGAAAGCAAGAGTGGAGGTTTTTGCATTCTAAATTGGCCAATCAAATAGTTGTTTAACTCTCTTCATTTAATTTTATCTACATTAAGACATATAGATACTTACAATCTAAAAGTTACAGAGGGTGAATAATAGATTCTGAAAGTCAGAGAAAGTCAAGCCAGAGACTATAATTACAGACAGCTGTCCTGTGTCCCACTGTCGTTTCAGAGGAGGATGAACTGGATGTACCTAAAGATATCAGTGTCCGCGTTATGTCATCCCAATCTGTGCTTGTGGCTTGGGTGGATCCTGTTTTGGAAAAACAGAAGAAAGTTGTTGCATCAAGGTATTTTTGCTTATTTCTTTGTCTTTATGTATGAGAGATGTGGTTTTTCTCATCCTGAGAAGACATATATTTAATGATTTTATTTTTCTTATTTATATGATTGTTGGCCTCTTTTTTGGAGAATTATCTCTGGCAATCTAGTTCCCACAAAGCACATACTACCAGGGCCTTGTGTGTACTACACAGAGCAGGACCTTATACTTACTCAATTTCTATCTTGTCTTTGGAAATTTCCTAGGTTTCCTTTCTTTCCTTGCCTCTATTTGTCTTTTGATTTGTCTCGTTAGTGTTCTGTTCACATGCAGGTCCACACTTGTAGGAATCTTACTGAAGAGTTATAGCAGGGTGGACTTTTGTGTAGAATAGTAGATGTTCATCTAATGCCTCAACTTAGTTCCTCATTAGACATCTGTCAAACACTGAATTGGTTCATGTCTAGCTTGTTTGTGACTAACAAACTGTACCTTATTTTCTCTTAGAGTATGATGTACTATTTTGTTTTTTATATTCATTCACCATTGCAGTGCAAGAAAAACCACATATAAGGTTAAAATAATCTCTATGTTAAAAAGTCACTGGTGAATATAACCATCAAAATTTTATGTGTTCAGTGACTAAATGGTTTACATAAGCAACAGAAAGCCAAAGATTTGGTGTATTAAATCTTAAACTTGTGTGCAACCAGGCAAGGGGACTTAAAGTGAATAAAATATACACAAAGATGCACAGAAACTGTTAATCATATTGGATATATCATTTCCTTGACTGTCTGCTAGTTAAAAAAAGGAATCTGCTTCTTTTGAAAGACCTCAAAAGATTAGTGGTGGTTCTCTTGTAGACATATGGCCATCCCCAACACACAGTGTTCCTGATTACTATCGTCTTTAATTTCCAACATCTTGCTGAAAAACGGGAAAGCTTGAGTCTTTTTTAGCAGAATTGCTTTGTTAAGTGGTGTGGCATGTCTTCAACTGAAGTCTTCTAACTTATTAAATATAATGGGTAGCATATTTTTAATACATCAAATCTTTCTACTGCAAAGAGGCCACAAAGAAAACTTCTTTTAAGAGGAGTCCAGTAAACAGAGTTTGGCACTCTTGGAGTGTTGAGGATATCTGCTGTCTGAGGGTTTTGAGTGTTGCCTTCAATGTCTGGTTTCTCTCCAGGAAAATCACACACCAGAGTGTCTTTTACAAGCTCCCCTGTCCTGCTGTATTTGTTACACAACTTTGTTCCATTTAAGGTTAATAAGTCTACTCGAAACCAAAGTTTCCTCTGCCTCCTGGCCATATAGAAATATGCCTGATTTGGCACGAAATGACTCTTTTTTCTTTCCTTTTGAAGGGCCAGGATGACTTTGGCATATTCTGATTCTTAAGGTTCCCCCTTTCTACAGCATCCCTGTGAGTGTGTACACACTCCTCTAAGAAAGTAGTTCCCTCATATGGTATGTCCCACTTACATTCCTTCCTTTTGTAACTCTGCTTGATCTTTTGAGCAGTAAAGCATTTTTGGCCTTGCGAAAGCACTGTGCTCTGTCTTTCCTGGACTACTTTAGACACTCTTGGCTGAAGAGTGTCTTAAGCAGATTCTCTGATCCAATAATATAGCCAAAAGTTTAGATTTTTCTCCTTTTTAACTTCCCAACTTACCACCAAAAGCCATCACTTACTGAGAAGGAACAGCAGCAAGAAGTCTAGAGCTTAGTTGCAAAGAATCTGACCAACTGGATGCCTTGTCGTGTTGCATATTTTTACAGACAGTACACTGTGCGCTACCGAGAAAAAGGGGAATCAGCCAGGTGGGATTACAAGCAGATTGGTAACAGGCGTGTGATGATTGAGAACTTGATGCCAGATACTGTGTATGAATTTGCAGTTCGCATTTCACAAGGTGAAAGAGATGGCAAATGGAGTACGTCAGTCTTCCAAAGAACGCCAGAGTCTGGTCTGTATTTGAAATGGCCTTTGGGTTTTCTCTTTGTGAATTGCTTCTAAAATCACATGTAAAGACAATTTAAGAAGCCTGTGGTAACAAAAGCCATCCTGGGCATTTTAAAAATCCACATTAACCCTAAAATTTACTTATGTTTCTCTATAATACAAAGCCTTTAGGATTAGGGTTTGGGTGAAAGAAAAAGTTAAAAAGAGAAATAATTTCAAGGAAGTTAGGAACTGTTTTATTGTCTCCACATTTTGTCCTCTGCTGGCCTTTTCTCTTAGCATGTTGCTCTGACCTGTGTAGAATGCATGAGTCACTGTTGCATGCATGGATGCCCCGGATGATACATGGCTCTTCATGTAGGGCACACTCTTCTGTCCTGAGGTGGAGGCTGCGCTGAGTCTGGAGGAGAATTTCACCCTAGAGCCTATTCTTCTCCTTTAAACTATGCTGTTAATAATTATATTTTTTGAAAGTTGAAACTGAATTTTAATCTTCTTTGTATATTTCGATATTTAGCCTCAAAAGAAATTCTGAATTCCTAACAGCATTTCCCTAGGTAGGTCTAATTTTATTGAATGAGTTGGTAAAAATGACATAAATCATTATACTCCACAAAGAGCAACTTTTGTCTCATGTATTACAGACATTAACACAATAGGTCTTCAATAACCAGTGTGTACTGAGTGACTATCTGCCATTTTCTTTTAGCATATCCATTAGGGCACTGCAAAACGTTTGATTCCTTGTTGTCTTATAGCTCCTACGACAGCTCCTGAAAACTTGAATGTCTGGCCAGTCAATGGCAAACCAACAGTTGTCACTGTATCTTGGGATCCACTGCCAGAGACTGAGGGGAAAGTGAAAGGTAAGAATGGCATCTCTTAAACTCTAAGTTGGATTAACTCTGATAGATACTGCATCTGCTCACAGCTTTGGTGACTGAAGATGAAATAGGGAGGCAATATCTGTAGAAGAGGTACTAATCCCGGGGCAGAGGTGATTACACACATTCTCACTGCAGACTCAGGGTACAGAAGTCTGGTGACACGTTAAAGAGTCATACTGTCTTTTTTTCCTGACAATTACTTATGCAAATGTGCCTCAAGAGTAGAAAAAGTTGAAATGTTTACTCTAGAAAGCAGTATTTTCATTGTTATTAGATTTTGGGGAACGAGTTTGTCTAATGTATCTACAAACTATGAAAAGTTTGTGCAAGCTTAAAGAAATCCAGAAGATCATTAGTGATCAGTCTTCTTTGAGATTTTAATTGAAGATGTTCTGTTTTTGTATTTAATTTTAAGTTATCTTTGTTGACAAGTAAGATGTCTTTTCATAGAACAGTGGAAGTTAAGGAAGGTAGATACGGATGATACCTATGAGGTGATATCAAAATATATGATGCATATTCAAATTCTAAAAATTTATTACAATAAAAGACACATTGTCAGCAATCCCCATCAAAATACTTCTCCTCACTTCAAACACACCTGTCCTATGTTGTTGCTGCTTTCTGAAGCAGTTCTAGAAATCCTTTTTCATGTCTTTACAAGGTATGATAAAAATACAATAAATCCTCCTGTCCAGTGCTATCCAACAGAGAGGTAGACTTGGAAAAGCATTACAGTGAGTTCTCATCCACCTTATTCACCAAATCTGGCACTATGTAACTGCTGGCTCCTCCCCAAAGTTAAAATAACGACGAAAGGTAAATGCTTTGAACTGATGCACGACATTGAGGCAGCTATGACAGTACAACCAAAGACACTTAAAATGACTTCTAGAACTGCTTCAGAAAGTGACAAAATGATGGAATAAGTGTGTTACAAGTGAGAGTATTTTTGGGGGAAATTAATGGCAATATTTTTACTGCAATTAAAAAATGTCTAACACTGACCATACTTTGTGATCATACCTTGTACACATAATGCTTTCTCATTTTCTAATTTTTAAAGAGTAGATTATGGTATTCTTTTTGCTTGTCCCTCCCACCCCTACTGGAATAAATCAGAAACAGATGAAAAAATAAATATTTAAATTAGTCCCTATGAATAATGCTTTTATGACAATTTAAAATTTGGGTCTTTCTGTATTGAGTATTGAGCCTGAAAATATTTTTAAAAATGAAATAAAGACTTTTTTGGCTGACTAATATTTTAGTTTTAAAAAGACAAATTATTGTTCTGCTGATGAATTTATTATCATCCTACTTATTCTTTTTCTGTCCCACATCTTAGTGTATATTTATAGCTCTTTGGTTGTCAAATTTAATAATTCAGAATTATTAAAGCTGCTGGTTGTCCATTAAACATTGCCAGAAGTAATAGCTACTGAATTTTTGTATGAGAAAGAGTCATGTGTCTCAACCCTGCCCAGATTTCATGAGAGTGTAGTGGAGGGACAAAAGTGCATAGCTACACTGGGATATTTCCGATGCATAAAAAATAGCATAATAGGAGGCTATGTACTTGGGCATGGTTAAATTTTCTCCAAATGAATTGAATCCATTAAAAAATCTGAATTACAAAATTTTATAGGCAATGATTTCTCTAATATCTTACCTTTGACCACCACAAATGACTAGCTTGTTCATTTGTAATGAGAAAAGAATGCTATGTTTTTCCAGAGAAATGCCACAGAAGAAGTTTTGGTTTTTGAATTAATGTACCTTTTAAAGATTAGAGACTAGGATAAAAAAGACCTCTCATGCTCCTACTAATTGCTTATTTTTTATGATTCAAATTGTCTTTCTTAGATCACATATTCATATTATTTGATGTTTTGTAAATCTTAAATTCACGGAGAAATAGTTTTTAGTTACATGTTAAAATTATGCTTTAAAATATAACTTCATATGTTATAATTTTCCATGTGATCAGATATTTTAGTTCCTTGGACTGAATTTTCTAAGGTTTTCAAGGTTCAGAGCCAAGCATAGTGGTAATGCTGTAACCTCAGCATTCTGGGAAGCTGAGGCAGGAGGATCTTGTTTGAACCCAGTCTGGGCAAGTTAGCAAGATCTGTCTCCAAATTTTAAAAAAAATGTAACAAGGGTTGGGAATGTAGCTCAATGTGAAGGCCCTGGGTTTAAGCCTCAAGGCTGCAAAAAGAGAAAAATGTAAAACAAGAAAAGTTTAAAGGTGTTATATGCTTATAGTTAGTCAAAGATGGAAACATTAGACACCACACAAATCTGTTACTTAGCAACTACTTTTCACATTTTTCAATGCTGTGAAATATCAGCATATGTTGAGTAAGGACTTTTTACAATTCTACAAAAGTGGTATTTTATGCCAAATGTGGAGTTTTTCTGACTTAATGTATGAATACAAGTAAGCAACTTGATAAACCAAAACACTTGGGGATGGCAGCAGTTATTCAGAATCAATTCCTAGTGGTCACCACTTTGTCCTTGGTTTTTCTATTTTGGGTATATCCTCCTACCAAGGGAGTAACTAAAGAGCAAAAAGAAAAAAAAAATCAGAGTGAATGCTTTTGGTGGACTGTGTGAAGACTGGTCTCCCAGGTTGTGTATTTAAGCAAATCAGCAGCTCATGCGCCAGCCCTGTCTGGTGGCCAAAATGAGTGTGAGCTTACCTGCCGCTGCGCCCTTCTGCCCCAGCTGTCGGCTGACGTGCATTGCTGGCATGCTAGTTCCAGTAGTGGACGTTCGATTTCATCCTGCCCACACAGTCTGTCTGCTGGACACAGGGCTGTTTTCAGTTTCCTCCTTCCAACCATCTGCCAAATCATTTCAGAATACATCCTTTCATACGCCCCGGCTCTCAAACCATTCGGAGCAAAGTCCCTCACCTACTCTGGACACACTACTTCTGCCCTGGTGGATGGCCTGCAGCCTGGGGAACGCTATCTGTTCAAAATCCGGGCCGCAAACAGGAGGGGCCCAGGACCACATTCCAAAGCCTTCATTGTCGCTATGCCAGCAAGTAAGCACCTTGTGTTTGTGCCTCTCTCTTGTACCTCTCTTCGCTCCTGCTGTTTGTTTTATGTTACTTTGAATTATGCTTTGGGTTAAGAACTCTGGGGTGCAAAGCTTACATACTGATTTCTTAAATACTTTTGTGGTCCTTTTAGAAATTAGTCTTCCCAAAGACTAAAATATTATTGATTGCTGATAATACTAACGGTTACTACCTTATTCTTCCTGTATTAATTACATGAGTAAGTTTATATCACTATTTAATGGAGGGCTTATGCTGACAGGAAAAGAACATGTTTGCAAGCGTAATGTGACATTTAAAATTGTTAACCCTCTTTTACTCAGCATTAATAGTTTCCATTTGTGCTCCATTTTATGCAAGTGCAGCTTTGCTCAGAAGAATTTAAATTGTCTGGTTTATCTGATTAGTATTCAAACCAGCAAGTTAATAAAGATCCAGTATTGGAGCAGACTGTGTTTGGACCGTGTTTTCTTTTCTGCTTTTGCACATTTATGCCACATATGAGCAGCTCTACCCTTCATTATGTGCCAGGAGGACCCACAAGATATACACAGCTTTAATGTTTTAACAAACTGTGGAATAGATAAAGTTTGCTTCCTGTGGGCTCCTCGTTAGCATAGAAATCTCTCCTTCCAGCACCCTTTCTCTCAGTTAGTCCTGTTTTTAAGATGGGGTGAGGTATATTTAATTTAATATTTTGCCTAGTGCAAGAGTCCTTTTAAGTTTTGTTTGGGAATTGCAAATGTATCCATTACGAAAGGAATTTTAAGCAAGAAGGAGGAAGCAAGTGAAAAGGAAATGGAGCCCTCTGTAATGTCTCAAAAATTACAAATTTGTTGCTCACTCCTATCACATGCAAGTTTTATATATATATATTCCCAGGTATTCTGGAGCATAGAACCTAAAAGTTCATATCTGGGTTACTCATAGCTCTTGTTTATTAAAAACAGCTATAATACATTTGCAGCACACTGACTGGTTATTTTTTTAAATCTATGCAAGATTTTGTATTTACAAAATCAATGACTTGAAGGTATTGCTCAGTATTCTCAGTGGATTGGCTCTAGGACCTTTAAGGATACCAAAATCTGAGCACTAAATGCCTCATATAAACAATGTAGTATATGCATATGCTATACTGTAAATAATATAAATTATCTCTAGTTTACCTACAATATCTGATAGAACAAAAATGCTGTGTAAATAGCTGTTATACTGTATTTCTTAGGGGAAAACAACAAGGGAAAAAGGTCTATACATGTTCAATACACATGCAGTTTTTTTCCCCAAACATTTTTGATGGGAGGTTGGTTGAATCTGGGGATGCAAAACTTATAGATATGGAAAATGACTGTATTTTAAAGCAGTCATTTCAGAATTCTCTTGAATAGTAAGTTATGGCATTCTGTGTAGTCAATTCACATATATTTTTTAAGACTTGTATCTGTTACTTGATGTAAAATATAATTTCTTAACAAACAATATCATAATTTGGAAAGTAAGCTTCCAGTGCTCTTAGGAATTAGAGGTGATCACTGTTTGGAACACCTCTCTACTACTGTTGTAATTACTTTGTATTGCACAGATTTTGAATATTTTCTTTAATGTGAATTCTTTAACATTTTTATAGCCAGTACCAGTGAGCCTAAAGTTCAGCAGAACACAGAGGATCATTGGAAAGCTGAGAAACCAGAGCCTTCCTCCCCTCCTCCCAAAGCTCCAGCTTCCTCAGAACACACTCAGTTGCGTGGTTCTCTCCCAGGCAGAAACATCAAGGACCCTCTCCTTGACTTGAAGAACAAAATACTGGCCAATGGTGGGATGCTCAGAAAACCCCAGCTTCGTCCTAAGAAGGCTGAAGAGTTGGATACTCGGTCCATGGAAGTCACTGATGAGGAGGAGCAGGATTCCTTGGAGGATCCACGCACATCAAACTCTGACACCCAAGACCAGAGGCAAACCCTGAGGCAACCAAGCAGATCTGGCCACAGGGTCCCAGCCCCCGGCAGGACTCCACTGAGGGCCCGAATGCCAGTGTTGTCCCCAAAAGAAGGCATGGATAGGCGTGTCACCTCATCTGTTGCCCACCCTCACCCAGGGGCAGCCTCCTCTGAGGAGGCTACCCAGGGCCCCTCTCCCCACCCCAGTGGGGACCGCTCTGCTAGCTCCATTGACAATGACTCTGTGGACCGAGATGAGGAGGAGCGAACTGCAAGATTACCCCACTCCAAGGTTGCTGCTTCCCAGCAGCTGTCTCCTAAGACCCCAGCCCAGTTCCAACCATCCCGGTCCCCCAGCAATGAGGCAGCCTCCAGTGACACAAGGTCCACGCACCACGGTGCAAAGCCAGCCTTGTCTGCAGGAAGAACACCCCATTCTGGAGCTGTGAATGAAGATTCCAGTGCTCCTGCTCCACCCTCTAGACTTTCTCCACCCCTGAGAGGGTCCTCTCGGCTGCTGCCCATTCAGCCACATCCTCGCCCACCCCTCTCCAGGGGCTGGAGGGATGGTCACTCCCAGGCTATCAACTCCAACACACCTTCAAGATCTACTTTGTCTGCCCCAGTCTCTGCCCATCTCTCTTCCAGGACAGAGGTTTCTGAGGGAGGGGATACTTCTGATGGCAGAGACCACAGTGACAGGGATGCCAAAGATGCTGGGAGGGAGGCTGAGGCCACTGTCCCCTCCCCAAGGGCTCGACCTGCCTCTGGCCACTTCAGTTTGCTCAGAAACAGGCCCTTTGCTGCCAATGGCAGGTTTCCAAACAGGTTTTTCAATGGCCGGGGACCACAGGTGCAGCCATCCAGCTCCCCCCAGTCCACCTTGGCCTCCCGAGTCCTCCCCCGGGTCCATTCTCAATCAGCTCCCCATCCTAGGCTTGGCTCAGGTATCCATGGAGACGTGGAGGCTGAGAAGCCACTTCCTGCTACTGTGGTCAATGACCACAGGACTTCCTCACCCAGACAGCCCCCCTCTGGAGGCTGGGACTCTTCAAGGAGAGGCCCTCAAAGAGGGGCCAGCTTGTATAGGAAAGAGCCTGTCCCGGAGAACCCCAAATCTGCTGGAACAGATGTACATCCTTTGGACAAATCCCCCTCTCTGACCTCCAGAGCACAAGACGTTCAACAGGGCACAGACTTGGAGGTGGAGGAGCAGCTAGTGTCCACAGGACGCCAACTGTCCCCTGCTCGTCCTCCAGCCTCAAAGACTCAGCCCTATCCCGGGGCCAGTGTGTCTAGAAGGATAGCACCTGGCCGAGCCCCACAAAATCAGCCCCTTGCACCGGTCTCCTCCCAACCCGGGCATCCCAGCCGCTCTCAGAGCAAGGACGCTGATCGGTCGCTTTCCCAGCCTAAACTTGCGCTAGCTCCAGCCGGGCGTCCTCGTCCCACGACGCAGGGCAGCGCCCACTCCTCCAACCCGTTGGCTGGGAGCTCTGCAGGGGTGCTCCGCCCGGCTCCCCAGGGCCAGGATGAGGGTTCCCAGAGCAGTTACGAAGACAACAGCACAGAAGTCGAGGCCACCGATGCCCGCGACCCCACGCATACCGCCCGCTCCAAAGATGCCACCCCATCCTTATCTAAGTATCATCAGGTGGCTTCTCCGGTAGGGCCCGGTGAGGACAGGCCCCAGCGTGGCCATGCAGGGGCGTCCCCTAGGCCTAGCAGGCCCAGCAGCTCCCAGCCCCGTGCTCGGGTCCCAGGCATGGCCGGGGCGCAAGTCACACCAGGAAAGGAATCTCCTTCCAAGTGGCCGCTGCCCTCCAAATCTCTGCAGTCGGTCTCCACCGAGGACGAGGAGGAGGACGCGGGATTCTTAAAAGGAGGAAAGGAAGACCCTCTGTCTGCCTCTGTTCCAAAGTGGCCTTCTTCCTCCACCCCCAGGGGCAGCAAATACTCGGATGGGAGCCTCACCAAGGACAGGTCTGCCATCATACTGGCTCCCAGGGGAGAGAACTCCGCTCAGGAAGAGAGCGCCACCCCGGGGAAGAGACCTGCCTATGCACCTCCAGGCAGCCTCCCAAGAGCCTCACACCTCCCTACCCGACGCCCTCCTGACAGCCCTGCCACCCGAAGTCCCATCGTGAGCACCTCCTCCTGGCAGCAGTATACCACCCGCGCCCCTGCTAGTTACTACTCCACCACACCGATGCTCTCCTTGCGACAGCGGATGCAGCGCAGATTTCGCATTACCGGCTCACGCCAGCCTGCAAGGCCCTCCTATGCACAAGGTAATTGACGTTCAAAAACAGCAGCTCCTCTTCCTCCCGCACCTCCCGCACCGAGGGGTTCAATAGTGTTCGCAGCAACTCCTGAGCGGTTCTATTTTACTTTATTTATGAATTTTATTTTATTGGGCATCTAACTACATCCAAGCACTGTGTTTAGAGCTTTCCAAGTGCAACATAATTTCATCCTTTCAAGTTGTCTTGTAGGGGTTGCAGTGTTTTTCAAACAAGAAAGCTGGAACTCGGGGATCCGAGCTGCTTACTTGAAGTCAGACTGATGAGATGTCTGAGCTCCAATACCAGTCCCAAATCCTAATTCCCAGCTCTCTGTCATTCTATTATCCCATATTGCCTCTCAGAGTCCCTTAACACATGCTCTTAATCTGTGAAAATGTGTCATAACCACAAAGTTCTTTTTATGTGTTTATTTGTGAGCATATATTTAAGGAATCAGCAACAACCAATTAGAAATGTATATAGGCTTATTTTGTTCTTACATTTTACATACAAAACTCTCAGACAAACATACCACAGGACAAATTCAAATTTCTAGGATTTGAATTGCTCAGATAACTGCAAGCAGTGGGCGTTGTCTAAAATCTCCAGAAACCTCCATACCTTAAGTGTATGCTAAAGACAGTTTTCACCCAGAGAGGTGAGACAAATGTGTGCCTTGTGTTTCCATAACAGAATGGAATATAGACAGCTATGAACCTGGGCCTAAGTGGTCTCCAGAGTAGGATCTTAGGTATTAACCATAAAATTGCATTCAAATTTGAACTCTCCGTACATATAATTGGGGCTTCATGGAACATTATTGAATGAATGTACTAGTATTAATTAGTCTGTACAATACTCTGTCATTTTAGCCCAAAGCAAAGACAGAATAATGCCCTGCTTTGATAGCAGTTTTCCATTAAGACTGACATTTACAGCAAAATTAAATTGCTGATAATAGAAGTAAAAGTCAATATTCCATTGTAGATAGTAGGGAATCAGTACATAATTAATGGGTAAATGAAGGAGAATAGAAATAGGTCTTTCACCTGCAAGACAGTTGTCAGAAAATCTAAACACTTGCAGTGGCCTGTGAGGTTAAACTTCTGAGTACTCCCATCTAAGGCTTCAAGGGAACTGTCCCTGGGGGCAGAGGCAGAGACAGACAGAAACATCAACTTAAAGGGCAGCTGCTGCACCTCCTGTTTCCTATCCTGGTAAATACTTTCCAATCAGCACTGGAGTTTGAGCTATTAGACAGCATTGGCATTTATAGTAGCAAGTGATGACTGGTACCTGAGGCACCTGGAAATAGTTATCCTGTTTGGTATAATATGCCAACAAAAGCAGAATTTCATTTAGTACATTTTGGAGATAATTTTTTCTTCTCTTCCAATCTGGACAAAATATCTAACGCCCAAAGTTAAGGGAGGAAAGGTTTATTTAGCTCACAGTTTATAGAAGTTTTAGTCTATAATTGGTTAGTTCTAAGGCAGGGTGTCTTGGCAGAGAACAATTCATGACATCCACAATGCAGCAAAACCAACAAAGGGGGTATGAAGGAACAGGACCAAAGCAAGTCCAAAATCCAGCAGGGCAAACATTAAGTCCTGTAGTTCCATGTGCAACATCAGAGGCAATCTGTGGCAAGTTGTGAATTCCAAAGAGCTTGGGTGGCTCCAGCCCTATGGCACTTCCAGTGATTGTAGCTCCCATGGCCTCTCTCTTGGGCTGACTCTGCTCCCTCCTTGTAGTTTTTCTCAGATGTTCCACATTCCTGGCTTCTCCAAATTTCTGAGGTCTCCACTGCACCTGTGGCTTCACTCTGACAGTTTCATACACTGCCCCCTCAGGGGCACACTGCCTGGCCTCCCAGGCCTTCTGAAATCTGTGTGGAAGCCTTCCTGACTCCACAGCTCTCCCATTCTGCATGTGCCTAAAACCAGCACCATGTGGACGATGCTAAGGTCTGTTGCCAGCAGGAGCAGTAGCCAGGCTTCTCTCTCTCTTGGCTGTAGGGGTTGAGTGCCTGAATTGCTGAGCACTCTGAATCCAATTCTGAGGAACAAATTCTCTATACTGCTGCCATTCTGGAACATGGTGCTATGGTGTTTTCTTCTCAAAGCAAAGTTTTTCACTTTTGCAATTTTGAAGCTGCAAAGGGTGGAGCCCCACTGCTTCATGTAATGCCCTCAGGCTATCTTTTCTATTCTCCTGTTCCTTCTCAGCAATCAGGATCTTTTCTGCTCTATCTTTGTAGTCCACATCTTTACTGGAACTTCCTTTCTGGCCAAACTTACAGCATAGTAAATCATTCTTTGTGATCTTTGCTCTTGATTCTCAACATAAATCTGGCTAAGAACACCCAACAGTAGTCATTCCATGGCCTGAAACATTTGACTGCTTTGAAATTTCTTCTACAAGATTAGTTAGTCCAACATCCTTAATCTCAGTCTCAGGTAAAGTCTCTGGACATGAGCAAAATGCAGACAACTTTCTGCCAAGCCATAGCATGCCTTGTCTGGAGTCCAATAGCCAATGGAATCCTTCTTTCCAGCAGAAACCTCCCAAACTTGGTCTTTACCTGCAAGATTTCTATCAGCATTCTGGTGTCCTGAGCTCTGACCGGAATCTCTCATACAGAACAGCCTAAGGTGTTCCACCTTTTCTTTTTCAGTCAGTATCTCTGAACCTTCCCAAACACTTCCTACAAGCCATTCCCAAAGCCTCCCGAACCACATGGTCAGGTATAGTCACAGCAGTGACCCCACTTCTTTGATACCAAATTCTATCTTAGTTACTTTTCTCATTGCTGAGACAATTCCCAAAGTTAAAGGGGGAAAGGTTTATTTAGCTCAGAGTTTGAAGAGGTTTCAGTCCATAATCCACTGGCTTCAAGACAGAGCGGCTCATGGTAGAGGGGCAACCATTCATGGTGGAGGAGAACACCAAAAGCAACAAGGTGGGGGGAGCTCTTTACATCCCTTATTTTGTATCCCCTCTACCGGGATTAGGGTGGTGCCAATCCAATCAGTGGACTGCTGCAACAATCACCCACCCTTAATCCCAGCACCCTTAATTTCAGCACTGCACTGTGAATCAATCACACACTCTAGATTCAGCTTCCTCCAAAAAAGCCCCATATAACAGTGCATAAGTCTTTAGGGGACGTTTAGACACAAACCATGACAATCTCTCTCCCTCCAACTTTTAATTGGCTAAAATAAAGCCACAATTACTAAGGTCTTTAGGTGTATATGGCAAATTTACTTACATGGCACATTTTCATTATCCACATATTGTTAGAAAACTGTGACTTTATTGTACTTTTAGTAAACATTCTTATTTATCATGTAGAAATCATACTGTAAGACTATTGTTACTTAACATATAGGAGCTACTGGCTTAGTAGTGTTTAATAGTTCTTTGAAATAATGTGTTACAACTTTTGCTTTGGAATGAAATCAGCAGTCCAGGAATGTTGGACTTATCAGGTTCTATTATATTTTAAAACTTTTTAATTTTTGCAATGTGTAGGTTATAACGGCAGACTCAATGGAGAAGGGAAAGTACTTCCTGGTAGTAACGGGAAACCAAGTGGACAAAGGATTATCAATGGCCCTCAAGGAACAAAGTGGGTAGGGTAAAATTATTTACACATTTCAGTTGTTGGAGAGAAAAATGATCAATACTGTGTTCCAGTAAATCAAGTGGTCTTATTTTCTTTTTTTCTCTAGTTTTAGCTATGTGAAGATACTTAAATATGGTTTCTTTAAAGGCTCAGAAAATATTTGATTCTCTTCAGTAACTACTTTGATATTCTCACAGCTAATTGATGAGGCTTGGGCCTGATTTCCATTTGCCTTGACTGGTAGGAAGTTTAAACAAAAGTGTGGCCCAATCACAGCAATTATGCAGAGTTTGAGGGATGGCCTCTCAAATAAACTCATTTTCCCTGATCTTCTACCTTTATTTGATCTGTGTTGTTAGCTTATTGTTTCATTAAATATTGCATTCATTTTCTGCTAGTTTTCTCAAATCCTTTATAAGAGCAAAACAAACAAAAATATTTAGGCTATTATCATGAGCTGAGGGTAATGGGTAGCATGCAGTGTTCAAGGACTCAAAATAGTCTTTCAAAACATAAAAAAAAAAAATTCATAATGGAATTTCCAGTCAAACCTTTCCAGTTGTAATAGCACAGCCTAGGAAAACATATCTGATAACTTCATGAAAATTTTAATCATAGGTGGTCCTACAATGAACTTTACCATTTCTCAAAGGAACAGAAATCTGTAGTAGGAAGAATGTAACTGAGCAACTGCTTAGAAGATAACAATATGCAATGTAACAGCCAGTGTTGATTTCCTATCATCTTATTTGAAATTCTGAATTCCTTTTATTGTTTTTAAAAATTCTCTTTAGATTAAAAAATGAAACAAAACAAACAAAAAACAAAATGTCTTTGCAAACAATTTTGAATTGAAGCAATGTAGAGTGGATTTCACAGGTAATATTTATATAGGTAAATATTATTTTAATTAGCAAAGTAACACCCAACAAAATATCCTGCTGACAGGACTTTCTTCCATGGCCTAATCATGCAGAGCAGTGGGTTTCAAATGTGAGCCAGCTTAGGTCCACTGTCAAACATAGCCCTGGGGTCAGATCATGTGATTTGTATACCTGATGAGTTGCCAGGTGACGGGGAGGCTGTTTTCCTGGACCATGATTGGAGAACCACCAGCTAGCATCATGAGCTTGTTTCTTCATAGAGATAATAATAACATCTTCCCAAGTTTCATCGAATATGACATTTTACTACCGTAGGGAATATTACTAAAATTAGATTATTTTAAATTTAATAATCAAATAATAATTTAATTTTAAACTTATACAGTAAAACACAAACATTGTATGTTTTTAAACACTAACAATACATGTTCATTGCAAACAGTTAAATATTTCAGAAATATGTGTAAAAGAAAATAAGCATCTAGTATACCAATCCATTTCTCAAAGATAATCACTATTTGCAGTTGAGGTACATCCTTGCATAATTACTTTCTCTGTAGTTTTATGCTTATATATAATACAAACATATTTTTGTTCTTGCAAAATAATAAGTCTTATATTCTATGTGTAGGTCAATATGTATAAAATTCCCATATCTCTACCTACAGGCCATGATTTATTTAGTCTCTTTCCTCACTTGACAGATTCTTAGATCATGTCCTACTTTTTAGCATTAGATCTACTTTACTAAATGCTAAAAATATTTTGAGCATCTTTTGTATACTTGAGAAACTTAAAACAATTTACATGTTATATGAGTAAAGAGTTATAATATGAAATATGACTGTTTTACTCTTTGTTTTTGAAACTTTGCAAGTAATACTGACAAAAAAAATGTTTCCCACTCACATTATGATTTCCTTCCGTGGGAAGCTTCATGCATATGTATAAGTAGCTGGATTACTGTAATCATTTTGAAATGTCCAATATATTCTTTATCTGTGTCATGGTTTAGGTTGTGGATTTTGATCGTGGTTTAGTATTGAATGCAGAAGGGAGGTACCTCCAAGATTCCCATGGAAATCCTCTCCGAGTGAAACTGGGAGGAGATGGTCGTACCATTGTGGGTAAGCAAGAATAGCTTTTAAGGAACAAAGTTGTATTGAATCAGCTATAGAATAACAAATGTTTTCCTCTTCCTCCTCACTTTTAATGGCTGTCTTTGATTCATTTGCTTTCAGCTATATGGGAAAAGAGCCTCAAAAGAGGCAGCACTCAGCATTTCTCTTCCACAACTTTAGTTACACTTTTCCTGAAGACACCACTCTCTAGAAATGTGTTTGTTCTTGAAACTGGCCATTTAGAGCAGGAGTCTGAAAACTATGGTCCAGGGGGAAATGCTATCTACTGCCTGTTTTTGTAAGGCCTATGAACTCAAAATAGCTTTTATGTTTTTAAATGATTGGGGAGGAGAGGATATTTTAGACATGTGACAGTTGTATGAAATTTGCACGTCAGTGTTCCTCTACAAAATATTATTGGATCATAGAAGCATTTATTATGAGTCATGTAGCTCATTTATTATGTATTGTTTATGTATTATCTATTACATTTTTCCCTACTGAGTCAAGCATAGCTGCAACAGAGACCATGTAGCCTCTTAGAGCTTAAAATATTTACTCTGTGGCCCTTTACAGAAATTTTGCCATCCTTGGTCCAAAGTAATAATATTCTTCTTTAGGAGTACGAATGACGTGAAGGAATTGTTTCCCTTACTAGACATGAACTACTTTCTGGGGTCATGGGGCATACTGATGAAAGATTCCAAAATCTGTGCATGGCAATACAGATTAATGGACATTATAATATGCCTAGAATATTCTAGGTAGCAGCAGATATTGCTGCCTCAGCTGATATACTTTACATTATTCCTTTGCATTTTACTAACTAAAATTTAATAATACATAAACTTTGAGAAGACACATTCCATTTGTATTTATTTCCTCTGGATCATTTTACCTTGTTGCATAGCTCTTGGTTGATTTTGTTTCAGATCTGGGAGGAACACCTGTGATCAGTCCTGATGGTCTCCCCCTCTTTGGGCAGGGGCGACATGGCAAACCCCTGGCCAATGCCCCAGATAAGCCCATCTTGAGCCTGGGAGGAAAGCCTCTGGTGGGCCTGGAGGTCATCAAAACAACCACCCTTCCCCCCACCACAACCACGTGGCCCACCACAGCTACGACTACTGTGCCTGTCACTACCACCCCTCGGGCCACGAGGGCCACTACTCGTCGCACGACCACCACCCGCCGCATGACCACCACCCAGCGCATGACCACAACCACACGCCCAACAACCACAGTCCGAACTACTATGCGGACAACTACCACCACCACCCCTGAACCCACCACCCCCATCCCCACCTGTCCCCCTGGGACCCTGGGACATCTTGACGATGATGGCAACCTGATAATGGGCTCTAATGGCATCCCAGAGTGCTACCCTGAAGAAGGTAACCAGCTTTGTTCAATGGTAACCCAACCCACTTAACTAGTTTGCTGCGTTTCAGAAGAGGGAGGCCAAGCCTGCAGGAGAGGGGTAAGTAATGTGCATAGCAAAATGCGAGTTAGAGGCAGCTGTAATCCCAGCAGTTTTGACAGTACTGTGTTGCAATCAGGGTTGTGAGATTCAACAAGCAAGAAATATTGCACGGGACATAACTATATAAAAATGACTTGCTGTTTATCTGAAATTCAAGTTTAATTTGGTACCTTGTGTTTTATGTGGCAGCCCTTGTCACAACCCAATCAGAAATTTAGCTAACATTTGTCACATAATTGGTTTAGGTAATGTTTCCCAAAGTATTTCCCACTGGATAGTAGTAGATTGTGGGTGTTATATTTTTGAAAAGCAAAACAAAATATTCTGTGATTAACTATGTGATTTAAACAAGGTTTGATAAATTTCTTACTGTTGGATCATTGAATAGTCTCATTTGAATCTCTAAGAAAATCAGTGTTTGACTGATGAACACCCCAGTCAGCCTTCCTTTTGGAAAATGGCAAGCCTCGAGGGGTTAGGCTTCCCCTGGGAGCTTGGGTTTCCCATAGGGTGGGAAGCGCACCATTTCTCCTGCTTTTCTATACTTGACCTAGGCTGTGCTATCTGGCTGTGGTTAATGTCTGTCTGTCTTACTGCTGGGAGTAGATTTTTCCCACAAAAGAATGGGAGCTAGAACATGTTTATCCAGGTTGTGGTAGAGGTGACATGTTACTACCATCCTTTCTGCTCAGGCCTCTTTTCAAACAGCTTTGGAAGATGCCATCCTAGACTTGCAACAGGCATAGTGGAGATAAATCCCTCTTCTTTGTCTCAGGTTGACAGAAGTTGCAATGTTGGCCATAAAGTTTATATCTTCTTAGGCTAATGCAGAGTAAAGGCCTTCCTTTTCAGGAATCATTTGTATGCCTGGAATTCTTAACAGTGTCACTTACTATGACAAGCCCAATCACTGTGAATACAAAATGCAGTGTCCAAAATGAGAATCCTGATTGAAGCCATTCTTTAAATGGGAAAATGCCAAAGAAACAGGAAAACTGTACAAAAAGTTCAAACCAAAGCATAAGGAAATGCACACAGAAGGAGAGGACCACTGGGCAGAAGACTCTTAACGCTGCTTATCCAGTGAGTACACATTTGAATTTACCACTGAGTTTCTAGAATCAGAGTGATTTCTTTCTTCTGCATATCTTAACGTGTTTATTTTTAAATACAGAAGTATAATTAAAATAAATACTTATTTAATAATTGGCTGTGAATAAAAGTGATTATTTTAGATTTGATTTTGATTATTGTTGTTACTTTGCTTTTTATTTTGCTTTTCTTTAAGCCTTGTAATTATTTTCATATGCCTTTTTTTGGACTTTAATTTCAAATGAAAGTTCTGTTTTTCTTGGGATTTGTGTCTCTTTTCTTTGCAGATCATGTTCTCTCTCTACATATAACTTATATTTATATATATAACATATATGTTACATATAAAACATATATAACATGTATAGCACACATAATTCTCTAAATATATATGCACATATATCACTTATATTTATTCTTTAGATTCTCTAATCCAAGCCACAGAATAATTTGTTCCCAGGCAGCCCTTTGAAAAAAGTCAATACAAAGTCTTGTGTGAAAAATTAACTTTGGAGCAGCAGCATATCATCAATATGCTAGTATACTAGATACATTATTTTAAAAATACTTCTGTATAGCCTATCTTTTCATTACTGGTATATCACTACCAACTTCATTAAACATTTTTTCTTGCATTAATTCTGATTCATATATAGAAAGCTGCACATATTTAATTTGCACAACTCCTCGAGTTTGGGGATGAGAATACATTTGTTAATTCATCATCACCATTAAGGGCACAGACGTATTATCTTTTGTCCCCTTTAATTGTTAGTATTATTCTTTTGTTTTCATTTCCATCTCATTTCTTGGAGTTGCTTTTCTCTCCCCATCTCTGAGTTCCCCCCTACTGTCCTAATATTCATATATTGTCCTTTATTGGCTTCCTTCCATTAGCCTCAACTCACCTTACCGCCAAAGTTCACTTCAACACACCCTTACCGAAGGCAACTATGAGACAGATATTTGGGAATGCACAGTGTAGTCTCCACTTCTTCCACTGTTGGACTGTGCACTCTAGGGTCAGTGATGGAGAGAGATATCTGGTATGGAATCAGGGTCTAAAGATAGCTTGAGATTTGCAAATCAGAGTCAAATTGCTCTAGAAAAGCTATAAAATACATTTGCTGTTTCTTGGTTGAATGTCCTATAAGTGGCCTTGATATGCAGAAGTTCTTTCTGTGAATACCATCTTGACACTCAGAGCAGAGACAGGCTCTCAGTAAGACTTGGGTATCAGCTAAGGGACCATCCCAGGTCTCCTTCAACATGTAACTTACAGCACCACCTGCACGCAATCCTCATCACTGGCTCTACCTCTTGTGTTAGTATTTCTCTTATGCATCTTCTCTTTGCTTGCATGGAGTATAGTTCAGTATTTTCACAAATGCTAGAATCCCGTGTGTACACACACAATCAGCGTTTGACAAGCAGTATTTTGGGTGTGGCACTTTCAGCCCTGCAGCTTGAAGTGTTTGTTGTTGGAGTGGTTGTGGTTTGGAATGTGCATTAGTGACCAATGATGAGTTCAGTGAGGGTCCCTTGCAAGTCCCCTTCTAGTTGGCTACTTGGCCCCCACTTTTATTTGGCCCCTTGCCATTCTATTTCTTTTGCAAAGTCCTAACATTTTGTGTATAGCCCTCCAGGCTGAACAGTATCTTTTTTAAATCTCAAAGTATTTATTCTAGTTAAATCGTGCCTTTCTCTTTTCTTTTAAAACTTGACCTTCAAATAATGTTCTGGGAATACCTTTGGGCTGTGTAGTGATTCCAGTAATTCAAATAGTATTTATGTGTGCTTCCTCATTGGTTATGGATGCCATACTTCCCTGTAGGCAAAATCACATTATATGCCTGTTTTCTGTGTATTATTGCATTTTACACTCCTTACATGCACACACACGAATGCATGCACGCATGCACATACACACACACCATTTTTTTTCTTGATTTGATTTCTTCATTTGATAATAAACTCCTTGTAGCCAAGACAGTGACTTGTGCTTCATCTCTAATTTCTTATAGGTCTTAGTCTCTTTCCCGTTATTGGGACAAAATACCCAACACCTATAACTTAAAAGAAGAGAGGTTTACTTTGGCTTGTGGTTTTTAGTGGATCCAGTCCATAGTTGGCTGGCTTCAAAGCAGGAAGGGCATGGTAGAAAGGTCTGATGAAGGAAAGCTGCTGGTATCATGGTGGCCAGAAGCAGTGAGAGAAGGCAGGAGGCTGGGAAGCAGAGACATCCTTCCAGGTCATGCCACCAATGGCCCACTTATTCCAACTAAACCCTGCCTCTTAGCAATATGCTCAACTCTGAACTCTTCAGTGAATTAATCTACTGATGAGTATAGCAACCCCACAATGCAATCACCTTTCAAAAGCCCAGCCTCTGAACACATGAACTTCTGGGGGGACATCCTAGCTCGAAACCATCATATTATAGTACATAAGTTGCATCTTTTTTTGGGTATCTACACAGTAGCTTGAGATGTAGGTGTTGTCTGTTTTCAACCTGGGAAGTAAAATCCAGTCCCCTTTGTTTTTCAGGTTCTGTCTCTACACTAGATCTGATGAGATTGCAGGTGTTTGGAAATGTTAAAGCCAACTGAACATTCAAGAATTTGAAACAGGACCTTGTTGCATGTTACACAGAAATTCACTTGAGCTGGAACCACACAGCACATGGAAATATGCACAAGTTCCAATGGCCGTCATTTCCCTCCTCTCTCTGAACTTCTGCTGAGGACAAATTTTTTCCTGTTTTGTATATCTCTGGAATTGAAGCTCTGATTCTTTAGTGGTATTTTGAACTCATGTTTTTCATGACCATTGATAAACTGCTGAAGAGAATAAGCTACATTACCATGGTGGATGATTGGCAGCTACTTTTACACACAGAGGTTCAAGTTCTTGATGTGGATGCAGGGTGACTTATAACAAGCCCAGTTTTACCAAGTTCCAGATGGTTCATGGTGGCAATTGGATGGAAGCTACTTTTATTTGGAGTCAGGATGGTGCTAGCTTAGAAAAAATTTCTCTGAGTTGATTTGGTATTTAAATAAAAAAGGATTAAGTCACTCAATAGGAAGTTCTCTTATGCCAGAGGTCTGGGCTGTCATGCATCTCAAGAAGTGATCTCGGTTTGCAGGTAAAAGCATCATTCCTGTGACCTACTGCATGTACAATTTCAATATGTCCAGGAGCTACCCTTCCCACCAGGTATCCATGAAAAAAACTTTCTCCTTTTCTTGTTCTCCTGGAATGCAAACATTACAGACTTTACTCATCTTTGACCTGGATAAATATAATGAAAGAAATGAAACCGAACTGATACTCAGGAAAAGTGAGAATATGTTTGCAAAAGTTAAATTGACAAGGGAAAGAATACGGTATGCAAGGAACTTAGGGCAAGATAACCACAAACTTGAGTGGATATGAACCTGAAAATGAATTGAACAGGCCCAGAAGTAATTTATCTTGGATCCAGACATCTTGACATTGGAATGACCTACAGAAAAAATATGTTTGGTAGTTTTTCATTGAAAGGTGGATAAGCTACAACTCGTTTCCTGTTTACATTCCCTGATCTTATCATAATGTGCCGGTTTAGCACCTCAAGAGTGGGCAGGTGGTGGGGTGTGTCACAGGCTTCTGCTGATCATGCTGTAATCTGCACAAGGGCTGAGCAGATTCGAGATGCCGCTGTGCTGTGCTAGTGGGTTTTGTTTGCATCACCCTAATGTTCATGACTTTCATCACACCGGGCTCCAAGAAGGCTGGTAGAAATATTACATCGGAATATCACTGGGTAACGATCAGTGATTTCCTAACAATAAAAATAGCAAAATTGGTGCATATGATTTTTTTTGGTAAAGGGACTTTATATACCTCCTACTTCATCTCACTGTGGGATGATAACTCTCATAGAGCATCTTTTGGGTTTATAAACAACTGGATTAATTACTTCAAGTTTTAAAAAGGAGAGGCAGTTTTATAAAGTGTAAAGTACATAGTCTTTGGAGCCAAAGGACTTGTTAAGTTCAAATTCTGTCATTAAACAACCGTCATTCAGACTTGTTGTAATTCCTCTTAGACCCTTGGTGTCCTTGCTTGAGAAATGGGTATCATAAGCCTGACATCTCTCAAGGATGCTTTGTGAGGATGAATGCAACTAGTGTATACATAAAAGTATCCGATGTGCAGAAGGAATCCAATAAATTGTAGTTCCTTCTTTTTATTATCCCCCACTACCACTTAAAAGAGAATTTTCAAAGTGCTATACTTGTGGGCTTCAGATCAAAAGGAGGGAAGGAGTTCTTTTGAGCTTTTTGAGTTAGAAACTCTTTTTTTCTCAAGATTTTATCAACCATAGGGAGATATTCTTCCTTTTATAGTTGCATTATTCCCCAAGTACAGAAATAATACAATTGCTTCTGTCACACCTTCTAAAAAGACTTCTGCTTAGATGATCCAGATTATGGAGCCAAAATGCCTTCTTTTCCTTCAATCATTTGGCTTTTTTTAACCCCATTTTCCTCATGCCCACAATATCAGTTCAATCATTAAGGGAATGTTAGGAATAGTTCTTGTAATTAGGTTTCTTGAAAGACATTTGGAAAAATCTCTTGTTAAATTCTACAAATTGCATTGAAAGTATAATTCTGTAGTTATACTAGATCCAGTGGTTAGTGAGCCTAAACTATTTTGAAGAGAAATTTCTAATCACTGGCAGATCCTTTCCAAAGGCAAGTTATAGAATGTAATTAGTACTGCATTGGAAATCATACACAAGTTAAATCTAATTAGTGCTGATTTAGCTCCTGAGTTGGGAGATAGGCTGAGAGTTTAGAAAAGGAGAGAAGCACAGGGAACTTGATTGGTACAGTTTTGCCAAAGCACAGAGTAGAAGAGGCAGGAAATTATGTCGCTTCTAGAATATTTCAGAGGCAAAATTGAAGGGTAGAGAGAAGGGAGGTAGATGAGTAGGAGCTCACAGGTGAAAGGTTTGATGTCACCATCCCGAGTACCAACTTCTCTCCCACAGCTTTTTGAGCATGTGTGTGTGTGTGTGTGTGTGTGTGTACAGACTGTAGCATGGTGGCCATGCGGTGCCTCAGTGTCCAGTGCTGCAGGCAAGTGGGCAGGGGACAGAGGTGGCAGCCAGGGTGGCAGAGAGGGCTCTGAGTCTGGGAGCCCACATCAGTGAGGTGTTCACTCCTGGTCAGTAGGGTTCTTGGATTGGTCTCTTCTGAGCCCAAAGGAAACGGGGCCTGGCCTCCATCTCAGTGTTCTGGAAAACTGAGGAGATGCTGGCTTTGGTGACTCGTTTCCATGGTCTGCTGAGGGTCAGTGAATCTTTATGCTCTGGCTCCAGGGCACTGAGGAGCATTGAAAAGCCACTTGGGCCTCCGATGACCGTCCCTTCCCTCTGCCCTCCCTAGATGAGTTCTCAGGCCTGGAGACAGACACAGCCATACCCACAGAGGAGGCCTATGTCATATACGATGAAGGTAAGAGCTGACTTCAGATACTTAGATGCATTCTTTCTTGATGTGAAAGAGGATCTTATTTTAATTACTGCATGATGATCGTGATAATAGTTTCTTTCTGGGGTGGTGCCGAGGAAGGTGGTTTGAACTTCCTTCTTCCAAGTCACCTTCCAGTTCATATTTGATGGAAGAAAGGAAGCATGTCTGGTATACAAATTCTGTTGCTGCCCCCCCCCTCCATTTGTAGAATAATGCAGCTACTCTGACCTCCTTAAGCTCAGCCCTTCTCTTTCTCATCCTTTTCTCTTCATTTCTAATTACATAAAAAACGTAGTACTATAGATTTGATTTCTTACCACAAAACCTTTTTAAGGAATGGTAAGTTTAAGAATACCATTTGGATAGCATCTGGAGCAGTCTCTAATAAGTTACAACTAATTCCATTGTTATTCTTAGGACCCTGGGATGCTGTGCTTTGCAAGTTGCCTTTGCAGTTGAAATGTTAAGGGGGAATCCTGGCCCCCTCCATCTGACTTTTGACACTTGGGCTTTGGGTGTTTGCAGGATGTACTTTGCCTTGTCATCAGCCATTCATAACCTGATTGTCTTAAATCACGGCTGTGTGAATAACGTCATCTTTGATGCTTTATTTATTCATAATGAAGTTTGATATAGTGCTTTAATCCTACTAGTTTTCAAACAGAAACTGACCTGAAAGAAAAATGGACATTAGGAAGCAAAGAACTTCTTAACACCTTTGAAAGTATTAGCGTCTTTTTATTATCCTTGAAGAGTTAAAAGGAAGGACAAAGTTTTCTTTTAACATGTTAAAAAGATAAGTTCTTTCAAATTCTCTTAACAGCATTGTCTACCTTTTGCCGCAGAGTAAAGTGCACACACAGAAGACGGATTTTTTAAAAAAATTAAAATATTTTCTGATGTGACCTTTTATGGCTCTCAAAGGGAAAATTGGGTAAAAAATGATGACCTTGGGCCAGTGACATGGTTGGATAGATTGTAAGGGTCTCTCCAACTCTGATTCTAAGCCCTCGTTTTTGTGGACATATGTATTTAGTTGTTCTCTTCCTTTCTTTTTATGTGTGGCTGCATTTCTACAGGAATCAAAATGGAGAGAAATAATATTTTAGTAGAAACAAATTATGTTTAGGCATACCAACGAATTTTGTGTGTGTATGTGTGTGTGTGTGTGTGTGTGTATGCATACATGATAGAATCTACAATTGAATCTTAAGAAAATACCATTTGACTGTCAACACTGCCCCTTTTCTGGAAGTGCCTCATTACAAAGCTTTTGTATCCTTTCAGACTATGAATTTGAGACCACAAGGCCTCCGTCCACCACCAAGCTCACCACCAAGCCCACCACCAAGCCCACCACAAAGCCCACCACCAAGCCCACCACCAAGCCCACCACCAAGCCCACCACTGCTGCTGCCACACCGAAGGTCATCCCTGAGGAAGGCTCCATCAGTTCTTTTCCTGAAGAAGAATTTGATCTGGCTGGGAGGAAACGATTTGTTGGTAAATATAGCTTCTTAGTCAGAAAAACATGGTTTTTAACTTTTGTCCCTTGAAAAGGAGCATAACTAATCTCTTGGTCTGGCCAAGGCAGTGCGTTTTGAGAAGAAATTTTCCTGGAGTGAAGTTTCCATTTGGGGTAATTTAGACAGTCAGGCCTGTTTAGATGCATGTTAAGATGCATGTGCTTTCTGCAAAAGTCGGAAGAGGGGAGCTTGGGGGAGAACACGTAGTATCTAACAGGGGAGAGTTTAGTGAGGAACACTTACAAATCATCCAGGCCAGGGAACAAGAGTACTTTTATGGTAGCCAGTCCTTCTAAGACAAGAATTATTTATCTCTAGTCCTTCTCTGCATGTTACTTGTGAAATTCTTCCTAAAAGGTTAGTAGCTTACTGAATGGAGCCACTAGCAGAGATTGTATCACAGAACCATATTTTTTTTCAGTTATTTTGTTTAATTTTCATTTTCCTCAATGGCTTGGGGGTCCATAAATTCATTTTTCTATTTTTTTTCTCAGCAATTAAAACAGTGTCAACAGGAAAGTCTATGTAGTTCAACTGTGTTTCATTTTCTTCCCAAGTCCCCTTTTCCCAGGCCCTTAATGAACTTCGCTAATGAGGCAGTTGGATGAACATGCTTCTAAGTGGAGACAAGCAACAGCTTAAATTAATATCACACTTTTCTGTTCCAAAAACAAATGCCCTGCCATGAGCAGAGAACAAGTTTTGCCAGCTAAGATGCAGTGATGGAGTGTGCAAACCATGTGTACTTGAAGAGCAAGACTATGAAGCTGAAGTAGCGTTCCTGAAGCCCATGCCAGTGCTTGTGCATGGTGGGCAGCAACGGGGCTAAGTTCACCAAATGCTCAGACTTTCTTTAACAGTTCTGCGGCAGAAATGGAAATTGCTTTCAGTGCTATTGTTAGTTCTGCCACAGAGCTCCTTTGAAGGCTGAAATGCTATTGTCTGACTGTTTTCTTATGTCTATAACTCTGTAGAGCATAATCGCCTCCTCTCCAAAACTTCCTAGAGAGATCAGTACTAATCAGCTTAATTCAGTACTAATCATTGGAAAATGGAAGAGTTAAAAATTGCATTCAATCCTAACAACCATTGAGAATGAGAGATGCAAAGAGGAAATGGGCTGTTTAGAAATTACTAGATACTGCTACTGGGGAGCACTTGAGAGCCTCCCATGTATAAAACCTGAACCTCAATTCCTTGGCATTTTTAACTTCTTTAAGAGTGGGATTTAACAAAAAGAGCTCTGGGCTAGAGGCAGAGAGTCTTCTGTTTGGCCCTTGTTTGTGGGCACATTCTCTCATTAACAGGCTCAGCTGTAATTGGTACCACCCATATCCTCCTGCCTGATTCGAAGGCCCCTTCTATCCCTGGAGATCAGATGTGTAGGAAGAGTTTCAGCATATCCATAACTAGCATTTTGTAACTGTGAGTACCTATTAGACTGAACAACAGTATTATAGAAGGCTGCTTGGACCTGGCCTTATGCATAGATATCCCAGAGGATTGTGGAGTTTGTGAAACCCAGGTTGTAGGGGTGAGGCTCAAGGCTGTCATCTTGATTGGTGAGTATTTTTTTCTGGTCCCAAGATAGTCAGGGAACTGAATCTTAATGAGAGAATGTTAGTTGACTTTAGTGTGGGCCTGACTCACACTTCTCTACATGTTTGGGCATAGAAATGGCAGAATACTATGAGCTCACATTACATTGAATTACAGTCTGGGAATATTTCAAAATCACTTTGAGGTCACAGTCATCACTGTTGACAGGGGAATAGAATCTTTTGCAACCACCAGACTGAAAAGTATGAACACATGGATTCATGTAGGGGAGGAGAGATATGTTTTTGAGTTTGGCATCAGGACTGATGGCTTGGGAGTCTCTGTCTGGCAGAAAAAGACTGAATAGTGGGTCTGACTCTGTGGAGTAGATGCTTTGTTTCTCCTTACAGAAAAAACCTTCAGCATTCTAATTGGGTATCTGTTCTTTTCTAGCTCCTTATGTAACATATCTGAATAAAGATCCATCAGCCCCATGCTCTCTGACTGATGCTCTGGACCATTTCCAAGTGGAGACCCTGGATGAAATCATTCCAAATGACTTGAGGAAGAGTGACCTGCCTCCTCAGCATGTTCCACGGAACATCACTGTGGTTGCCATGGAAGGCTGCCACTCATTTGTCATTGTGGACTGGGACAGAGCAGCCCCTGGAGATGTGGTTACAGGTGTGTCCTTTGCAGATTTTCAGAGTTCCCATTAATCTGCATATGGGAAATATAGACAGTTAAAGATGGGTAGATGCATGGATGGATGTACAAATGAATGAGTTGAATGGAAAATGTAGGTGTCTTTTTTTTGATGAGATGAAATGTAGGCAACAATGGAAACCTCACTGGATGCTGTAAAGAGCCCTGGAAGGAAGTCAGAAGTTCTGAATCCTAGTCCCAAATAGGGGTGTATGATCTTGAGAGAGCTACTTCATTTCCTTTTGTTTTGGTTTTCTCATATGCAAAATATCATTACATCTCTAGCATTATATAATCCTTCAAGGGGCCAGCGAACCCAGGGAGCCATTTGTGAGATCAGCCCCTACAGCAAGAATGATGGAAAGTCTACTAAACCATAACTCTGTCTCTTCCTCTTTCCATGTGGCTGATTGTTTCCAAATCAGCTTGTGTGCTTCTCACTTCCTTCTGTGGGAATGGAAATGATGCAAAACTGCCCATAAATGTTGAGCCTTCAGGCACTGGCCTGAGAGATATTCCTACGTACATGTGTCTGTGAGGTTAGGTCTGTTGAAATAAGTTTTAATAGAAAGAGAAATTATATTTTCTGTGAATAATCCCTTCTTTTGCAAATGATTCTTTCTGAGCCTGTGAGCTGTGTAAGAGGAAGGCATATATGTGTGACTATGTATGCATCTTGAGCTGGTAGGATGGTATTGAGGTTTGGATCTGAACATTATCTACCACTATCATGCTAGTGTAATTCATATAATTCTAAGTTTCTAATGCTTTTTTAGTTTAAAGAGAATAAAAAAATAATAACAAAATAAGAACAACATAGTCAAAAACAAAACAAAGCAAAAACAATAAAAATGATGCAAGGTTTCAAAATACAATGACAGGAATTAACAGTGATTGTTATATTGCATATGTTATCTCCAGTGAATTTGCCCAGATTATCAGATGTAAGAATGTAAGATTGATCAAACCATTAAAGAGAATGAAAAATAATAAAAACATTAAAAATAATACAGAGCTTCACTAAACAAGATGGTAGGAATTCATCAAGGGTTGTTATAGTTCATATTGTTGTCTTAAAATTAGTTGTTCAGATTACCAGATATAAGCAGGCAAAATGGGTCAAAAAATTTCAAGCATTAACTGTTCCTTTCAGTAAACCATTAGACATCATCAGTATAGTCATCCCAGCTATCTGTATATATATTTTTCCCCCTTGTTTTTTTCTTTTTCTCCTTTTGCTCATCCCACTTGTTCATTCCTTTGAGCAATTTCTTTCCCTTTCATAATATCTATTATACATTTTGGGTTTTATTTACTCTTTCAAGTTCTTATACTAGGGAGACAATATGATGTTTACACATGGGGTCTGATTTATTTCACCTATGAGTATGGTCTCTAGTTTCATCCATTTACCTATAAAAGCATCAAGTTTACCTTTTTAATAGCTGAGCAATACTCCACTGTATAAAAATATCACAACTTTTTTGTTCATTTCCCCACTGATGGGCATTTGTTTTTTTTGCCAAGATTTAGCTGTAACAAATTGTGCTGCTATAAACATGGGTGCACATATATTGCTGTGGTATGATGTTTTTAATTCTTCTGGGTAAATTTGTAGTGCTTTTGCTGCATGTCCCCAATATTGTCTTTTAAAATCGGAAAAAATGACGAAGAACAGCCAAAGAGCAACTTCTTTTAGGGAGTTTGCATAGGGGCCCCAAACCCAGGGAAAAAGACAGAGGAAATAATGTTTCTGGACATTTTTTCAGGTGTGGCTGAAAGAGTGAGGAGTGCAGTGAGGGTGTAGGATTAAGGAATTTGAGTCTTTGGTGTATCTGAATGTTCTGCTCACCTCATGATGTCTATAGAGACCAATTTCTATGAAAATTTCTGCATGTTCTTAAAAGAAAGCAAATAAATCAATGGATGCAGGAAAGCTTATAATCAAGACAGTCAGAAAGTTCCTTTATTAATTGAATATAGTTTTATGAATGACAATGTTTAAGAGCAAGCAAGTAAGTATATAGAAAAAAGAATGGAAAATCCATAAGTATGTATGTGCATGTATTTATTTATTTTTGAGACAAGGTCTTGCTATGTAGTTCAGAATGGCTTTAAATTCATTATGTAGCCCAGGCTGGCCTTGAACTCATGATGATAACCCTTCTTCCCACTTCCAAATGCTGGAACTACAGGCACATGTTACCATGCCCAGCTGAAAATTTTAGTTTGAGCTCCTTAGCTTTTGATCTCTTGTGGAACAGATTTTTTTACACAAATGTGCCACTTTGTTTTGAGTCCAGGCTTCTGAGAAACACTGGCTGCAGAGTGAGAGAGTTGGCCACATTAGAGGTACCTCAAGGGCTCTTGGAGCAAAGAGCAAGCTTTGGAGACTCCCATCAAAATGTCTCTGGACTTGATTCTGATGCAACTGCTCAATTACCCTGTAGAAGGTGGCTTAATGAAACACTTTCCTGTTAACTTTGCCATTGGTCATTCCTTTCAAGCCCCCCAAAGCATCTGAGAGATTCCAGTATCCTTACATTATTCGTATACCCTACATCTAGTCCAAAATGATGCCTCAGTGTCCCAATCATGAGAACAGGTATGGATGTGGTATTTATGGAGATTTGAGGATTCCCAATGTTAAGTTTCACCAGCTCTTTCCAGGCTAATTATGGTGGAACATTTCAGTGCATGGTGTCTCTGAATATAGAAGGAAAGGAGAAGATAGTGAGAGCTCTTCATCAGTAAGTGAATGGAGCACTGTCTTTTCTTCCTGCAGAACAGAGAAACCAAGTAGACACACAGATACACTTCCTAACTAAATAGACATCACATGATGGGGACCCACAGCAGGCATTTGAACTTGGTGGTACATGAGCGTGACGTGGACTGCTGATTTTTGCTTGCCATTCCTTTTGTCACAAGCACCCAAGTCGCCATATAACAAGGTGGCATCCAATCAGTAAGAAACTTCCTACCAGTAAATATGGCTACAACTAGTTGCTTTCTCAAATCACTCCACATGAATCATGTGGTCTCTTCATTATGCATAATTCTGTGGGAAATTACCAATATGATGACCTCAGTTTCTCAGGACCAGCTTGTCAGTCAATCTACTGCAGCTGGTTTTGGTAAGAACACCAGAGAAATTAGGAGTTCCACTGTGCTCAACAAATAGATTAGCAAAACCCTGAAGTCTCAAAAACCAGACATGAAGATCACTACACACTAGAAGCACATGGGCAGCATGAGATTCTGATGGAAGCTAAAGGTCAAAGATTCTGAACTTCACTAATCCGACTTCCTATGGCACAGACATGACCTCAGTGCACCACTGCATGGACCATTGTGTGCACAAAATGTCAGTAAATATGTATGATATCATGTTACTGTTGTCAGAGGAGGAAGGGATTTTATGGAAAAAGTAGCAATTACATTAGTCAGTTTTCCATCACTATAACAAAATACCTGAGATAATTAACTTATAAAGAGAAATATTGGCTTATGGATTTGGAGTTTTCAGGTCAGTCTCAACTCAGATAAGCCTATTGCTTTTGGCAAGGGCAAGGGGTTTGTGATAGAGCAAAACTGCTCACATTATGGGCAGGAAGCAAAAGTGAGAAGGAGGAAGAGGCCAGTCCCTTTTGAAGGCACATCCCAATGATGTAGGGGCTCATCAGTGGTTCCATGTCCTCCTACATGTTCTACCTTTCCCAGTAGTGCCAGCCTGAGGACCATGTCTAGAAGACGTGGGCCTCTACATGGGCCTTTGGGGGACACTTATCTGAATCATGGTAGCCTCACTTCAAGGGTTTGCAGAAAATATTTGTTAAAAATATAGAAAGAGTCTTCCAGGAAGCACTGTGGGAAGGGTTTCAGAGCCAGGTCCACCTGGCTTCTGGTCCCATCTTATCCATTTGTTAGCTGTGGTGTAGTTGTGTGTACCCATAAGCTGCTAAATAAAACAAAGTTCATCTCTTAGGTGCATTTGATGCTTTTGATCTTCCTCTTGACTTTCATGACCTAGTTCATGTCCTTCAGGGCACTGACCACAGCTGTATAATTTTGTTTGTGCACCATACTGCTTCTTGAGTTCATGGTATAGGACCTGACAAATAACAATTGCATATTTTAAAATTAGTGAATTTGAACTCACCAAGGCAATTAACATTATTGAGAATCAGTTTATTCATGTATTAAAATAAGTGATCAATATCTACATACAAGAATCATAGTAGTTGGGGATGGTGATGCTCACCTGTAATCTCAGCATTCTGGTAGGTTGCAGAAGGGAGATCAGGAGTTTGAGCCCAGTCCAGGTAACTTAGTGACTTAGTGAGATTCTATGTCAAAGTAGAAAAGTAGAAAAGAGCTGAAGATTTAGCTCAGTGGAAAGGTCCTGTGTTCAATCCCCAGTACCTACAAAAAAGAGAGAATAAATTAAAATAAAATAAAACAATTGAAAGAGCTTAGCCATCTGTGACACTTAGGAAGTGCTTGAAAAATGTATTTTTTTCTGTACACATAAAAGAATAGCATAAAGGATGCACTGAAATGTGATATGAACTTTACTTTGTCTTCTTGAAGGCTGTGCAAGTGTCAGAGTTGAGGGGCACACTTGGGAGATCTGTGATCAGAAAATGTGACAGGGCAGGGTGGATGATAGGAAGCAGAGCTGCCTGGTTGCTGGGCTTAAAAGGTCAAGGGCAGGCACAGACATCCCACAACTGGAAATTGGAAGCAAGACGTCACCAGGTGGGTGAGGATCTCTGAATCTGGGAGTCATTCGGCCACACCTACTTACCCAGCATGTAGTGCCAACATTCTTCATTTCATGTGAAGGGTAGTTATGTATGACTTTACCAGGAATTTCTTAAGTATTTGTGTGGAGGTCACTACCTTTCTCTTCTGCATGTTTTCTCTCTGTCTGTTCAAGATTAGATGTGATTAGTTCCAAGGAGCTGAGGAGGGCTAGGGAATGAAGGAGAGACAGAGAATGAAAGGAAGTAGGGAGCCAGCAGGTCATCTGGGAGTGTTATAATTTTGTTGCATCTGTCTGGACTGAGCAGAAGGCACCAAAGTTTTGTCTCATCCTATCCCCTCTCCAGAAATTCCCCCAATGGGCTGCCTGTGTATGTTCTCATCCTAGTCACACTTCTGTGTGACTGGTTGCTGGATGTTCACTGGATCTCTTCCTATTCCTGTTTCCAGGGTACCTAGTCTACAGTGCATCCTATGAAGACTTCATCAGGAACAAGTGGTCCACTCAAGCTTCATCAGTAACACATTTGCCCATTGAGAACCTGAAGCCAAACACACGGTATGCTATATCAGTCATTTAGAAGTAAACAACCAAAGAATGAGACCTGTGTGTGTGGTTATGGATACCCTCTGGTTAAAAATGAAGGATTACTCACATTTTTGTGAATTTGTCATTTAGTTCTCATAGAATATCTTTGAATGCTTTCCATGTGTCATATGTTTTGCTTGGGAGTAATTACTATATATTACAACTGTTAGGGTATTGCATCTCTGTTTTGTTACCCATTTTCCTAAATACTACTTACCATTAGGGAAAGAAAAGTTCTGTGTGTTGAAACGGAGTTGATCCAGCTTTAGTCACCAGTGTGTTGGTATTAGGCAACATAATCTTCATTAGCAGAGCAGCAGTTACTAAACATTTCAATTAACTGGTACTCAAACACTCTGGAAAAATCCTAATCTGTAGTATTTTCCAATTTCCATGGTGTAAATATTCTTATCATGGCCAACTTCAAGCTATCACTGGCACACAGAATACCTGTGTAGTTCCTGATTGACTCCCACAGGCTCCTACCGGCAAATTCACCACTGTTGTGCTGGGTCACTGGGCTTGCTTGGTAAAGAGCTCAGAGCGGTGTGAAGGTGGCCCTGAAGTCTCTCATGTCTACCTAGAAGAGAACTTGGTGAAGATTGGAATAAAACACTCAAACAGACATGTGGTCTAGAGGATGGGATCTGAATAGCCTAGGGCATCAAGAGACTTCTGAACAAGCTGAAACATCTCCTGGGGACATTTTAATGTGCCATTCAGGCTCACTTGAACCAAGCTTTCATAATCTGTTATAAATTTAAGGATTTGGAAAATGAAAAACAAGTAGTAAACCATGAAGCTGAGAAAGCAGTTTTTCCACAAAAGTAATGAAAAGTTGAACAACCAGAGAAAACAAAAATGACAAAAATCAGAGAAAATGGGGTTAACGCCCTTTTTTATTTTGTGCAGTGACAGTGTTTTTATAGTACAGCCGCCAAATCAAAAAGCTGAAAGGTGCTGTCCAGATGTTTTGCCACATAACTATTGCAGTAGTACTTGAACTGCCTGCAAGCTCAATGTTGTCGCCATGACTTCTGCTGCCGTATTGAAGTTCATTTTTGAATACTGTCAAAAGATGTTTGTGTAAAATGACAACTCGCTTGTTCTTGCAGCAGTTATTTGTCCCATAGTTCATCCAATAAATTCTCCCTGAATGTTTACGCTGGGCCAGATACCATATAAAGAACACAGAGTTTGGGGTGTGGGGGTGAAATATTCATAGCTTTAATAGACCTTACAGTCCTATTCTTATAGAGCTTACTGGTGGAGGAGACAGAAGTTTTTTTTAAATCAACATAAACTTCCCCTGCCTAGTGTCATGAGGAAGAAGTACACCTGTTAGGAGAGTACAGAAAATAATACAGTTTTTCCCCCACCCTGAGCCTGGGGACAGAGGAGGCAGTCAGGTAACTTCCTGGGGAAGTCAGGTCTAATGCATAAGTAGTGGTTAAGCTGGAGAAAGACTGGTTGGGTGAGGCAAAATTGCTCCTGACAGAGGATGCCCCCAAACATGCATGTTCTAGAAAGAACAGGAGGCTCAAAGGGAGGCTACATGGACAGTGGGGCTTCCACCTTGTGCAGGCTTTTCTGCTCCTTCCTGGGATATATCCTCATTTGCTTTTGAGAATGAGTGCAGACTAGGATGTAGCACGCTTGGCTCCTCCAACTCAAATGTATTCAAAACCCTTCTAAACAGCACCTACATTTCACAGCCAGGACAGTGTAACTGTAATGTGGGGACACTCACTTTTCCTGTGTTACTCGAATGCAGAGCGACTCCGTGGTGTCTCTTTGGTGTCCAGATGTACGTCTGCTGAGTCAGTGTCTCCTCCTGTGGTATCCCAGTCCTCTAGGCCTCTGGAGAGCCAGCCTCAGAGTTGGCCCAGGACACAGGAAGTCAGTCTGTACAAAAGAGACAGAGCCTAACAGTCAGCTTTGGTTGTTTATAATTGGATCTTTTTTTTGCCTTGAACTGAGCATGCTTTACCTTATTCATGAACTTCAGCATCAGTCTCTCTCTGGAGTCTGAGATTTTCAATCCATTCTTATTGTACCAAGATTTGTCACTCCTATGGCTACTCGAGGCTGGTGCCAAAAGCTTATGCAAAATGGCAAGTCCTGGGCTGATTTTGTTGCTTGTATGAGGCAGAGAGGACTGTTATTCAGAGTATGAAATACATATTTTCATTGGTAAAAATGTACAGTGTGGTTTTTGAAAATGGGAATTTTACTTTTTTCATAATTTCACATTGTTTTTCAGCTCAACATATTTAAATTCACTTGGATACAGTAGGAGAAGTTCACAGGGGGATAAGTCTTTGGATTTAGCACATGGTGCTCTTCTGGAGGACTAGAATCTTATGGGGACAACAGCAAAGGTGGATTTGGAGAATACTTAGGTTTTGGTGGTAAAACAAAATTGATACAAACAAATCCATCTGAATGGTCCCTCTCAGCCTGCTGGTCATCCTTCCAATTGCACAGAGGTGCTTCCTCTGTGGAGCTTGGAGCAATGTTTTAGGACAGCAAGGTCTTGTTCAATAGAAATGTTGACATTGCATCCGATTATGGGCCTTTCCTTATGTTTTAGTTTCTTTTCCTGAAAAAAAAAAAAAAAAAACCAGTATGTGTAAAATTTGACCAGCGTCATTAATGTGTGCCAAACCCACTGCCTGAGTTGCCTGTGGAGAGTCACCTTAAATCACTCCACAACTACTGAATAAGTGCGCATAGCTGGGGAAGCATGCCCTGCTGAGTGAACTGAGATTTGGAAACACATATGTTCTTAATTGTGTATATCTTTTGAAAAAGAATTCAAAAAATAAAATACTCTGAAGTGAGATGTGAATAACTTAAGAAGACTTGTCTTACCAAATGGCTTTTCTTTGCTTAGTCAAAGCCATAGGAAAACATCTCTGTGTACTTTCAGGCCAGGGACAGCCTCAGGGATCATCTCTGCTAATAGGCTTCTGGCCAGGGCACTGAGTACAATGAGTGTAACCCTTCGTCCTTTGCATGTAAAAACTTTTAAAGTTTTAGTGCATTTTAATTAGTACTTAATCAAATAAAGAATTTTGGAATATTGAAATGTGACATTTTTGCTGAGCAAAAGCCAGAAGAAAAGACTCTGAAAGTGCAGGGTGGTCATCATTCACAGGGATGTTTACCTCGTCTTTTCCCACATGTAGTGAAGTCCTAGGAGAGCCAGGTGATATCTGGAACCTTAGAGATAAGGAAATCACAAATCTTGAGGGAGATACAGTGGGTCACGAGCATAATGCTGATCTCTGTGCTTCTCTAATCATTGCTTTTTATCTCTTCACCCCAGAGAAAGATACTTATGGTTCAGTCTCTCTCTAGATGAGCTGGCAGACACAACAGTGGACTTCCAGCACACTTGCTGCTCCGAAACAGATTTTAGTCCTATAGCAAAGCCTTTCTTTCCAGGCCTTTCCCACTTTTCCTTCCTGGAGTTGGTTGTCTTGCCTTGAGGAACAGAAGCTCATAACTCAGTGACTTGTAGGGCACCCATTTGTGGCTCTAGGGCCAGGCACAGTGCCTGTCATATACTCAAGACATCTTTGTCTTGTTAGTTCTACTGAAGAATCCCACGTCTGGCCTGATGTACTCGCTACCTGCCAATCACATGTCGCCTCATAGTTGGACCCAACATTCTGCTTTTCCACATGGACTTCAGTGATGATAATTAAACTAAGATTTCAGCTCTTCTCTGAATGTTTTGTTGCTCCAACTTCTTCTTGCCTGAGGAGCTCAGGGATCGAATCTTAAGCTGGAACGAGAGCAGGTCTCCTTAGGGATGAACTGGGAAAATTCCCCTGGAGTGGTGAGCTCATGTTGCTCAAGGGAACATGTATTATTTGAGCCAACTGTGTGTCTCATGTGCTTCTTCTATTCCCAGTAGCCATTGTCTACACTATGTGAATTATATTATTTTAAAAAGGTATTAAAATGAGAAAGTTTACAAAGCTATGAGGCTCATTAGTGATATGTACATTTGTAAAAAAAAAAAAAAAAGTGACTCCAAGTCAGCATGGGAACCTTTCTCACTGCACAGAAGTCAAATAAAACACTCTTTTAAAAGATGTTTTATTCCAATTTCAGGTATTATTTTAAAGTTCAAGCCAAAAATCCTCATGGCTATGGACCTATCAGCTCTTCAGTTTCATTTGTCACAGAATCAGGTACGGGCAACTTCATATGCTTCTTTGTTTTACCTTTCTTAAAAATGAAATAAGTAATGTAGGATAATGAGTATAACAGAGTGAAAATTAAAGTAGCAAAATCCTTGTTTTTCTATTTGATGTATTCGTGTTGAACATCACTTTATAAAAAAAAAAGTATTTTCCTTCCAAAATACTTCCAAAGTATTTTGTTTTTCTATTTGATGTATTCGTGTTGAACATCACTTTATAAAAAAAAAAGTATTTTCCTTCCAGTAGGTTAACACAAATAAAATTATCAACTCCCCAGGGAACACAAAGTCATTCCACTGAGGGAAAACTATAATTTTCAATCAGGTAGGAAAGATAAACCTCAATGTATCTATCCGTGCAGAATTTAGTTTCAAAGTTTAAAAAATTTCTTTTTATTGCAAACAACCAAAAAGCCTCATATCAAGTGGCTGAGGGGGAAGTTCTTTCTTCAATTAACCAAATGTGTAAGATCTAAGATCCTCTTTTAGTAAGAAGTGGAGATGTTAGACGTTTAATTAAAGTGGTAGTCATTCTTACAAGCAGTACATATCATTCAGAGCATTGTAGAGTACTGATGCGTAGAGTTCTCAGGCCCATCAGTAAAATCTTCAAAGGCTGGGGTCTGATGCCATAGATGCAGAGCTGGCCCACTATGACAGTGTCTTAATTACTTTTCTTTCATTGCTGGGACAAAATACCTGACATCCAAATTTAAGGAAGGAAATGTTTATTTAGCTTACAGTTTGTGGAGGTTTCAGTCCATACTTGGCTAGCTCCAAGGCAGAGTGGCACATGGCAGAGGGCAACGTTCATGGTGGCAGAATAGCAAAGCAACAAGAGCAAAAAAGGAGGAATGGCAGAGAGGAGCAAGCCTCTTCCCCTCACTTATATTGTAAGCAGGCTACCCCCACCTAAGGGGCGTGTAGCTCTCATAATCTCCATGCCCTCCTCTTGCACTGGCTCAGGATGAACACAAAGTAAGCACGCTGGTTCCCTGCTGAGTCACATAGTTAACCTTCTAAACTTCTCAAATTGACACAATAAACAACATCCCAGAAGGGTAAAGACATGTCCTCTTCACCCCAAGATGTAGAACTCCTAAGTCACTTAGCCAAATCTCTAGACTCCCTAAGTTGACACAATGTATCAACCATAATAGACGGTCAATAGGTTAGTGACTTTCTATCTAGGAAGCCAAATTGGAATCTGACCAATCTGGCTGAGCCAGCCCTGCATCCACAGGGCATACATTTGGTCAGATTATTTTTTGCACATAGCCTGATGCAGGAAATTTGTCACTAGAAGATATATTTAAGTATTGTGAATCAAAATATGTGAAAAAATAAAATTTATTCTGAGAACATGCTTTATACTGGAAATGTAGGCAGAGGACCTTAAAAGCTTTTCAACTATTTCATGTAAGAAATACAGTTCTTGTTAGCCATTAATAAGAAAGAACAAGGAAAAAGCATTAGCAGTGGTTAATTTTCTAAAGTAAAGAATACGTATATGGTTATGGCTGTATTTTATAAAATCAAAGTGAATCTTTGGCAACTATCAGAAGTAACTTGATCAAGGGCAACAATAAAAAGTAATTAAAATCCAAAATGCTACCAAGAAACTCAGATCTGAAATCTATCTGAGAGTAGGGAGCATGTGTGTAATTTCTAGTATGGCAAAAGAACTTCTGAAAAGCTAGCTCTCTTCTCCTCTCTCCCCTTAGTAAAGCTCACACCGTATCCTATGTGGGATTCTTTGTAGAGGTCCTACCTTGGACTATAAATAAGAATTTCAGGGTTGAGATCCACAAAATTCACATTGCGCTCCCAGGAGACCTTCACACACTCAGAAAGCCAACAATTATTTACTGAGGCCATCTTCACTTTACTCAGTCAGCTTGCTTGGGTCTCTCTCCCTATATCACCCTGCTGAAAGTGATTAGGTTACAACAGGAAAATCATCAAGTAAGTGAATTATGACATTAGCCAAATACAGCAATCTAAAAATTAATGTAGGAAGTAGATATATGTGTGTAACTCTGGATCTACTGTGAGGTTAGGATTTTTGTTGTCTGTGTCCCTATTGCTTTGAATTGTCCCCTTCCACCTCACCCTAGAATATTGGCGACTTTTCTAGCAGACTAATAAAACCTAAGACATCAAGAAAAGGATGTGAAACAAGCCCTTTCCCCTGGAGCTGATGGCAAGTCACTCAAGTTTGTACATACTAGCAGATGACATCAAATGAACTCTCTGTATGAAGAGCAGGGAGATTTGGGGTGATAGAATATTTCCTATGCTGATTGTGGGAGATCTTTAAGAATCTCTATACATGTTAAAATTTATAAGATGTTAAGGACTTGGGTTGTAACTCAGTTAGGAAGCTTGCCCAGCAGGGGTGATGTGTTGGATTCAATCCCCAGCACTGAAGATTTCATACACACTAAAGGGGAAATTTACTATGTGATAAGTTTTAAAAAATCTAAAAGAATGGTCTGTGTTTGTCTAGCCATTGATATTTTATAAAAATGAACTTTTTCTGAAGCAGAAATCCTTGAAACACAATTTTCATGTTCTCTTAAGTACTATTATTTCAGCTAAGGTATAGATACATTTTGAAAAGAGCTTTATTGTAGTATAAATGGCATACAATAAACTGCACCTTAATAGACTGAGCTGTACTTATACCCATGAATTCTCACCACTGTCAAGAAAGTGAACACATCCATCACCCTCATAGCGTCTTCCTGCTGGGCAATCTAGCTTGCTCACTCCCCCTTCTACCAGTCAGAGGTAGCTTTTTGTTACTATATTTTGTACCTTCTAGAATTTTACATAAGTGTCACACAGCATGTTCTTCTTTGACCCCCTTTCAGCATAATCATCTGATTATTCATTCCACTCATGTATATTGGTAGTTCATTCTCTTTTGGCACTAAGTATCTCACTGTATGGCTATGCCAGTTTTTTAAGTCCTATCACTTGTTGGCAAACATTTAGGTTGCTTCTACTTTTTTTTTTTGTTTGTTTGTTTTTCTTTTTGTTTTTTTTCCGGTACCGGGAA